TTGTCATCGGTGGTAAATATATTATAGAACTTAGCAACAAATTAACAAATACTTCGTGGCAGTTCGTTACCAGAAAAAAAAAAACTAATCTCAACACCAAATTAATAAAAAGTAATATCATTGTATGTGAAACATAAGCTCTTTTGAAATACTACTTGTCTTATGCTACTTAAGAATTGTGCTGTTGGTGAATTTTGCAGAGGAGTGAAAATGTTTTTTTTGTTGTTGTTATTGGGAGTAAGTATATTATACTTACTCCCAATAACAAAAGTACAAAAGTAAAAATCATATGTTTACTTCGTGGTACTTGGTTACCAGAAAACGTGCTCATCTCTTAGCAACAGATTAACAACAAATATTATTGTTCAAAAAAACATTAGATTTCCTCTGCTCTTTTGAAATACTGTTTGTCTGCTTAGACACAAGAAATTTAGAGTTGGTCAATTTTGCAAAAATAAAAATCAGATGTTTACTTCGTGGCACTTGATTGGTATTTCAATGCTCCCCTGTGCTTGGCAGGCCCCAATAACCAAATAGCTGTACAGAAAAAAAAAAAAAGAAGCAAAAACCTTTTGCAAAGAATTGCAGCAGAGAGGAGGGCATCCCATGAGTCTTTCAGCTCTTGTATCTGTTTTTGGATTAGTGGCATGCCTTCAGCGGAGGTGTTTCTCTGCACCGACTCTCCTCTTGTGATCAACATCTTCAGCTGGATCTCCTTCTCCTGGCGAGCCGTCAGCAGAGCCTGAAGCAGCAAGCAACCGTTCAAATTCATCACAACAGAATTTCAAATACGTCGGGGAATTTGAAGCGATTATTAATTTTCTATACCTCCAGCTTGATCATTCTGCTATCAAGAACATTTTTGTCAGCTGTTGGAGCGCTATAAGTCTGTAGCATATGGCTGGTGTCAGCCACCCAGTTCTGAAGCTCCTCCAACCCCTGGGAGAAAAGCTGGTGCTCGGTGACGATCCGATCGATGCGGGAAGCCTTCTCCTGCACGTCCAGAACCATCAAACCGTCACACATCCAAAAAAATTACCATGAATTCAACAAAAGTTAGGAAATGCAATTTGCATATACAAAATAATTACATATGTGTTTGACAGAAATGTTGTACCTTTACAGTTTTAGGGTGTTTTCCCACCTGATAGTTTGGTGGAGTAGGTTAGATTGGGAACCAAATTGAAACATTTATTATACTATCTGTCAAACGAACCAAGCCAATTGAAAAACCTTTTCCCTCCTCACCTGTGGTGGCGCTGCATCAAGAACTACTGAAGGAAATGACACGAAAACCTCCAAAGGAAACACGAGCACAACTTCCTTTTTCACAAAATGTAAACAAACATGGAGTGGAATCAGGTTTTAGTGATTTAAGGGTTTCTCTTTAATCAGTGGTAAACAAAACCACAAGCAATTTCTCCCTGTAGCGCTAGATTCTCATTTTTGTTTTGGCTGTATTTACCCAGAATGCACTGCTCTATAGTCAGCTTCCTACTTTTTGAGGTGGTTCATGTCAACCAAACAGTGACCGAGGTTTTAAGGTGAACCAGAGTTCACTTTTTTGGTCTGCAACACAGTTTGATTGCGTATTCTCACCTCTCCAAATGAATCTGATTTGATTAAAGTGGAGTAAACAGAGCTGGTGTGAATGCACCCTAAAACCTGTAAAAATGCACATAACTCAGGTGTCACTCCAGTCTAGTACCTCTGTATCATCTCCAGCTATACCTCTATAAAAGTCCCAGTGCACAGGTGGTCTCACAGGCGTTACTTTACCTTAGTAAGGTTGGTTAAAGCTAGGCACTGAGCAGAGAGCTGCGACACACGGTGCACAAAGCCCTTCCCGGCCGAGTGTTCATCCCACAACAGCTGGGCCTTCTCTTTCAGCCTGTTCAGCTGAACTTCGTGAGAAGCTAAGTCTTCAAGCACAGACTGGAAGAGCACAAGCAGGTTATCACAGAGGCATGCAAGCTGACACTCAGATTTATAAGACTAGGTGAAGTGATGCAAAGAGCAGGTTGGCAAGAGATGAGAACATGGCAAAAGCAAATGAGGAGCTTAGCAAGTGTTACAAGTCCAGCTCTGAAGAGGAGACTGTAGACAGGAAATATATTCTTAAGGCCCTCTTTAGCAATATTTTATTCATGTAGACACTATTGAGCAGACATATGGTTAGCAAAGAGAAGCAGGACGTGCTGGCAGTTAGCAAAGGTGCATGAAAATGCATTCTAAGCAAACGCATCACGAACTGAACGAGATGCACCAGGAACTGGACGGGTGTTTTTATGTTTGACTGGCTCTGATTGGTGATCGGTCAGTCTGAATCTAAAAATATTATCTATTTCCGATCAGTGAATATGCCATTCCTAAGCTCTAACAGGCTATGCTAACCACAATCTTTGGTGTGGAAGTTGTTACTGAGGCAAAATGACTCAGTTTATAAATGAAGTCAGATCAAGTGCAGAAGGTGTTAAGAAACTTTGAAAAAGGAAACTCTTTTCCACTAATGCATTTCAGCTGTTCATTTAACCTGCTGGTTCAAAACACTTTGGCAAAAACCAGGAAGCTCAGTATGTTAAAGCAAGGTTATTGATTTTATTTTTGAAAGAGTCTCAATCTATCTGTCGCGGTACGTGCTGCATCAGCAAATATCAATCTTTCAGAAATCTTATAGCTAAGGGAATGCTTATAAATAATAGTTTACAAGAGAAAAGCTACTTAAAAGTTTATGTGTGTGAGTGACCAATCTAACACAAAACATTAAATGAGGGATTTTTCAGCTCATATATTAAGCTGGACAAATCATGAATATCTAGTGATGTGCATTTCAAGTGTGCAAAAAAAACGTCAGTGAGCAAAAACCTGTTTTGTAATTGAATGAATGGGACATGATGTAATTCTTAGTAAGGTTTTGTTTATACAGGTACCTCTGGGCAACCTTTTCAGTATTTTCAGTAATGCATAGAGGGGTCCTAGAGAATTGTTTTTAAATTATTGTACTATAAACATTTTTGCTGTAAAAGCAGATAAATATTCAGTTAATCCAAACAAGAAGATAAAAAAATTAGTTTAATTTTTGCTTTTACCGAGAAATTTGATCCAACTAAAACCGTTATTGATGTTGATTTACAAAACATCTGATCGGAAATTGTCCACAAGGTTCTCTAATCAGTGCATCTCTACGAAGCTCTACTTTTATCAGAGCTTTAATGATGAGAGTCCTGCACATGAGATGAATTGTGACGCTCATGTGTGGCGTTCGGTCGGTGTTTCAAGTCCGGTTGATGTTGGACTGCGGTACCTGCAGCTTGTGAAGCTCCATCTTTTTTGCAGTCAGGTCATGAAGTCGTGTGCTGCTCTCCTGCACAGCCATCTCTGTTGCATTCAGGCTTTCCTGAAGAGGTTCTGCACTTGCCTCAAAATCCTTCATCTGTGAAATGAGGTTCTGGAACAGCAAGAACAGAGTCCTGCTGGTGAACTAGGAAACTAAAAGCTTTGGAGGATAATAGCAGGGATAGTTTCCAGTGGTTGAGAAGAGAAATTTAAATGCTTACTTGCAAACTCGTCTCTCGGTTGTGCAGATTGGACATGATGTTTTTCCAGTCTTCTCTGGCAGTGTTCATTTTACCCCGAACTGCGTCGGTTTTGTCTTTAGCTGCGATGCTACAGACGAGCTCTCCGTTTGCAATCACAGCATTCAGCTTTGACTGACCTTGTTCTTTGTCATTAAGAAACTCCTGAAAGGACAAGACAAGATGGAAGGTCATAACTTAAACGCAAAAACAGCAGCAGGTCACAAAAAACACAAAAACATGTTAAATATTTAAGCATTACTGTGTAACAGTGTCTCTCTGATTACGAAGTCAGATTTTTTATTATACCTGAATCTTCTGGAAACTAGACGAGGCTTCACCGAGGTTTTGAGGAGCATCAAAGCATTTGGCGGTGTTGATCTTGGCGTTAACCAACCATTGTTGAAATTCTCTGAAAGCCGAGCGGAAGCCTTGATCCAGCGCCTTCTCTTTGCTCTGACACTCTCTGGTAGCTTGGAGACTCAAACTGGAAAAAGTCAGTAACAGATTTTTTTTTTCATAGAATACTTTGTAAATACTTAAAATATACATATCTTCTCATTCCATTATCTGTGTTTTTCTTCAGATGTGCAGTTTATTGAATATAAAAGCTCTTTTTAAACACAAAACCATCACCTTAGAAATAAAGTTTTCAGATTTATTTCAATTTACTTGACTAAAACAAGAAGGTATTTCATTTATCTGTTAACTACTCGTTTTTCAAGTCTTTGCCACAGACTCACAATTGGATTTAGGTCTGGAATTTGACTAGGACCCTCTAAAACAAATCCATGTAGCTGTTTGTTTTCTGGCTGAAAAGTTGTTTTCATCTGGTTTTCTTTTAGGTTTGAAAAGTATTCAGCTTCACCCATCATCTTCAGGATGGTATATAAGTTTAAATGAGGTTTCTAATGGCTTAAAAACAACAACAACCTTCATCTGGAACTGTTTCCATAAAGCTCAGACTTGTGCTATAGCTGATTTAGTTTGCAAGTCTGCAGAAAATAATTTTACTGGTTATGAAAATGTGCATCCTGATACAGTAAAACTGCTGCAGACGTTTTTTTTTAGAGGCACAATTACTTGCTGGCATTTCTGGCATCTTTTTCTGACCTGTTATAGTCCTTAATGAGGGCAGAGACTCTCTCAGACTGAGTGGCCATTTCCCTGGAGAATCGGCACAGATCATTGAGCTGAGTCTTCAGACGGTCAGACATGGCCTCAGCTTTGACCAGTTCGTCCAACGTGTCCTGTACGTAGAACAGATGAGCAGTGAGGACAGACAGTAAACCTTTAAACACGTACATAATGTAAAGTTCAGGGTTCGTACAATTTTCCCAGGATAAAATTCAAGAACTTTTCAAACATTTTTAAAGTAAGTTTTCAAACTTTCCCAGCATCACACTTTGGAGATAAAAACAATACAAATAAATAAACTAAAAAAGATAGTGTCAATTATATGATGCCATTATATGATACTGTTATAATAATGTCTTATGATAATATTCGACACAGTTTTATCTTTTGAAATGTCGCTCTCACATACTCTGATCCGAAAACTAAACAGTAATTAAACAAATTTCCCCCAATTTCAATAACGCTGTTTATGTATAAAGTATAAGCCAACCTTTATTCCAGTTACACAGATAAATAAGTCATCGAGCGAATGAGAATGATAAATATTAACTCCATTGTAACAATCCAAATAAACCGTGTTAAGATAAATGACCTTCCTGCTCAACTTAAATACTTAAACATAAAAGAAAAAACTCTAAAAATGTTCTCATTAACTTCTTAGGCATTCAGCAAATAGAAATAATTTTGGTAACTCTAACGAACCTAAAACAAGAAACGTTTAGAAAAAAAAATATGTCTGAGTCTTTTTGTTAGGTGTATGAAATTCAGGCTTTTAATCAAACATTTGATTACACTTTATTACAAAACTGTGCAGTTTGAATATCAAGCACTTTCAAGGACTTTCCAAACTTTGAAAATACCTCATAGAAATTCAAGCGAGTTAAAATTCAAGTTATTTTCTTACTCAGGTATGCCTACCTTTGCCATTTGCCAGCCTTTCACTGCTTCCTCTCCCTCATTTTTCTTCTCTGCCTGGCAAAGTCGAAGTCGGCAACCCTGCAGCTGACGGCTGAAGTCCTGCAGGTCCTGCTCCAGCTGCGCCGACAGACTGCTGAACTCCTGCTCAGAGCTCGATATCTGTGAGAGCGACGTCTCCAGACTGGCACGTGTCTGCAGAGCCGCGCGTTCCCACTGCTCCCATGACGACAGGAGCGCTGCTTCCTCTCGCTCCATCGCCTCGTAGCCGCCTGAACCCGTGTAATCCCTCGCTACTGCCCCGTATCTCTGGACGCGGTTCAGTCTCTCCCTGCCTCTCTGCTTCGAGTCGAGAAGCTCCTGTAAAAAACAAAAAAAACGCAAGTTAAACTGAGCTACGTTCAGATTATTTACATTCAATTCGCTGTGAACTGAGAGAGAATCATCTCTCACCGGAATGTATTACTATTATTATTCCAGTTTGAACTTTCCTCACCTGTACTTTGGACAGCTTTCGTCTAATGTTGACGGAGTCTCCTGACAGGTCAGACCAACGCTGAAGCTCCTCTTTGGCTGAGACGAGCCAGTCGTTGAAGTCTCTCACTGCGTCCAGGTACTGCTCGTGCTCAGACACGATGTTTTGCATGGACTGGACTTTTCCCTTTGTGGAACAAACTGCATGTTAATGTCACACGTCGGATGAGAACGAGACCATGTCTGCATTACGTCACCGGTTCTTCTGAGGATGTTTTAGAAATAACAAAAGATATTGTAGTGTAACGAGAAAAAAATTTAATCAATAAGTCTAATTTTGAGTAATTTACAAGTTATTGTGGAGAATATTTAACTTTTTTGTTGGTGTTTTTTTTTTTGCCAACTGTTTTTTAAAAAAAGTCTTAAAAGTGGTGGGTCTCACTCTTTATCTTGACTGTATGTTGTTGTACATGTGAGTAAAAATGTTTCAAAATCACTGAATTCGTGTAGCAAAGCCTGGAATTTATGGTGTTTATAAGGTTTACCAACATTATTCATTAATGTGAGATATTTAGATTTTTGTATCACTATATTTTTATGGGTCATTTCGTCAAAGTGGGCTTCTCTTGCAGCTGGAACACCTGAGGTCAGATGGTGTTTGTTGTTTAGATTCTTGTGTATAAAGTTGAGTTTCTCTAATTTCTTTTTAGATTAATTTCTAAACAGTCCAACTGTTACCTTCCAGACTTTCTGTTTTAAACGTTAAATGTGACTAAATTTGTCGACTCACAGATTTAGTTTCTTCGTATACCTGCCCCTCGAATAAACATCTAGAATGTACCATCTGCTACCATGGATCTGTGTTACCTTGACGACGGCTGATATATCAGCAAAGTGCGTGTGGAGCTCTGCCCTCGACTCCGGCCCAAACGTCTGGTCGCCAGTTTTTTCGTGCAGCTCCACTGCTTTCTCACTTAGGTGTGACAGAGCTGCTGTGTGAGTGTCCACGTCGGCCTGGACGGCCCTCAGTCGCTCCAGTAAGGCGCTCTTCTCTTTGAGGCCTGGTTGCTGAGGCTGGGTCATCCCGACCTCCTGCTCCACTGACTCCATCCACTGCTGCAGCTGGCTCTTGTTCTCCTGAAAGGCGCTCCACTGGGCCACGGTCCACTCCAGTCGACTAGGAGGAATTATATGTTAATTTGTGACCAGTTAAATTTTTTTTTTTCCTTATTATTTTGTTGGCATTTTAGACAGTAGACCAACACAAAATGGAAGAAAGATTTTGCTCTAGTACGTCTTTTGGTGAATGTGTCTTTCAGCTTTGAAAAATAACTTGAGCTTTTAAGACATGCCACATAAACTCACCTTAACTAGGCCAATTTAATGCATAAATATGCTTTTATCAGACCCTATTCTGTTGTAGCTCTGGCAGTATTTTTAAGGTTATTGTGATGAATCTCAATTGTTGCCTCTACCAGGTTTTTTGTAGAGTTGCTGTGTATTGACTTCCATCTATGGTCCAATCAATTCATTAGACGGCAGATAGTCTTGTGTCATACTAATGACAAACCTGAGGCCTTCAGAGAAAGACTGCATATACAGAGAGATTAACAGGAAGCCTCTTAACTTGTTGGGTGACTTCAGAAGACAATTGGTTAAACTAAATTTTACAAGAGGCATCAGAGTAAAGAGGGCTGATTATAGATGCATGCTACACTTTAATTTTTTAATTGTAAAAGCATTAAATTAAACTTTTCCCTACACTTCGCAAATATACAATATTCATTGTGGTCTGTCATAAAATCACAATAAAACACATAAAAGTTTGTGGTTTTAAAGTGGAAAAAACTGAAAAAGTTTAATTATTCCACTGCCATTAACAGTCTTCTCTAAAACATCTCAGAGTTATGAAAACAGGACATGTTTCATACCTGTGGCAACTCATAGCCGTCATTAGCATATTAGCCCAGGCATCCTTTAGGTTCTGGAGCTGTGAAGATATGGTCTCCTGCTCTTCAATCCTGCTGTGTTTTAAAACCTGCTCTCCTTTTCCTACGGTCATGTTGAGCTTCACTTCACCCTCACCCTTCATTAGCAGGATATCCTTTAGAAAAAAATGGGACAAAATAAACTATGGCCTCATGTGCAACCATTCAAATGATATTAAATACAAAAAGCAAGCAGTAAAACAGCTCTGCTTACGAACCTGGATGAGACCTAGCCTTTTTTCCAGAGTTTCTTTGTTGCCAACGGTGCTGTTGAGCGAAGCCAGACGCTCCTGCACGCCGTTAAGCCAGACCCAGGTAGTCTGCAGGGTCTCTTCAAACGCTTGTTGTTCTTGTAAAGTGAGCTGGCAACTGCGCAGCCTCTCCCTCACACACCTCAACAGGGCCTGGTGCTGGGACTGCAGATGAGCAGAGACTCTCGTCTCGCTGCCGTCTCCTCGTCCGCCTTCGTTCAGAGCCTGTCCTTCCTGACAGAGGCGCTCAAACGAATCCCTTTGTAAATTATCGGAGGGAGAGTCATTAGGAACCATAAAGAATGCTTTTATTGGAAGGTAAAAATATTCATTCCTTTAGCTATACATAGCTTAAACACCTTTCTTTGAGCACTTCCTGTTGGTATTCCTCCACCTGCTCAATCAGAGCCCTTTCAGATCCACGCTGTTTGGCCTCCAGTAGATCTGTAGTCATTCGGCTTTCCATGTGCTCCAACCACCACCTGAGTTTCTTGAGGTGACCCTCAAACCTATAAGGGTTTGTTTGCTTAAAAACGGCGCATTCACAAGCTGCTCTATACAACTAGCTTACGTCAGTCTGTTACCCTTTCATGAGGGACGCGCTGTCCTCAAGGATCTGCTGGTTCTGCTTGCACTGCTCCACAAAGCTGTCCCAGTCCTGCTGGATGGAGGACAGGTGCTGCTGGACCTGCCCAGCGCTGGCTTTGGGAAGATGAAGAAGAAGTTTCTCTCCTTCCTCACAGACTTGCTTGAGTCTTATCTCACCTTCCTCCACGCGATCCATCGCGCCCTAAGACACAAACCGCAATGCTTTGAATGTTTTTTCCAAAGTGGATTTCATTTTACATTAGAGGAGAAAAGATGCACTCCATTACCTTAAGCTTTTGCAGCTTACGTTCCACTATTTGCGTGTCTCCTGATCGATCAGAGCATTCTTTCACAATCTCCCTTTGCTCTGAAAGCCAGCGATGAAACTCCTGGACAAGGTCTGAAGATGCAAATACAAATATTTACCATCTAGGCTACACTAGGACAAAAAATACATCACACTGTCGTCCTCATGACTTTTTTTCAGCATATAAACATCCTGTGACTATCTTAGTTAGCATGTAGTTTATCCTGATAAAGACTAAATCTGTTTGCAAAGAAAACAGCGGTTCCAGCAGTCCACCTTCTTTCTAAGATAGAAGAAGATATTGTTTCCATTTCTCAATATTTGAAATTAAATCACAAACTAAAACTTTGAATATTTTAAATGACTTTAATCTGTAATTGTAAGGCAAAAAAATCCTCCAAAAAACATCCACATTATCCCTCCCAGTGAACCTGACAGCGTTAGTCCCTTTCACTAAGAATCCCATTAGACATGTTTTGGCACCATCTAGTGGTCGGAGTTTGAACTGTCTTTGGTTTCTTAGACTGGAAGCACTTGCTATAAGTCACGTTAATAAACTCATTAAATATTCTGTGTCTAAAGCAGATAATGCAATAAAAAAATCAGTTTATTGACGTCTGTTTCAACTGATTTATCAACAAAGGAAACACATACTTAGTAATTTTCCATATGTTTCGTTTTCACTGCATCGGACAGTATTAAAACATAAATATTCATGTTAGTAAAATATTTTCATATATATATATATATATATATATATATATATATATATAACTTTGATACAAACATAGAAACTGGAAATCTATTAAATCTATCTAATGTAACTAAAATACTATTTTATATTCATATTTGGATATACAATTCTGACAGTGAAAAGTTGAAGCAAAGGGATTTCTTTTCCCCCCTTTTAAAAGTAGGAAGGAAGCATTTTAGATTAAGAAATGCTAAATAAATTATTAAGTTGCATGCCTCACCATTGAACTGTTGCTGAAGGCAGTTTTGTAGTGAGTTCAGAGTCCTGGCAGAAAGCTGGTTCACAGACTCGTAAGTCTTGATGAGGTCGGTGAGAGACGACCCCAAGCCGGCCAGCTCCTCAGAAGGATATTTTCTGCACAGGTTGTTGAGGCTCTCCCTGGTCGAATCGATGCTCCCCTGCTGATTTTGAAGCTCTTTCAGAAGGTCCTGCCGAAGATGTTCAGATATGTAGGTTAGGATTTTGGCTTAAAACATCAGTATCTCTTTCTGTCCAGCAGACTGTTCTCAGATTACAGAGTTTTCTGAATCTTTGACACTTATTTAGGTTGCACCTTTACTCTGCAGATGTCCTCAGGATCTGATCCGGTTGGAGAGGAAACCAAAGAGTCCTCCATGCTTTTTAGCCACGCAGACATCTGCGAGATGTAGTCTTCTAGCTGTTTACGCTGGGACGTGAAGTCAGTGAGGTTTCCTCTGACCTGCTCGTGCAGCATCTGAACAGTGCTGATCTTCTTCTGTAGGTCTGTCTCCAACACCTGAGTGTTTGTGTTGTAAACAGGTGTGGGTCTTTAATTGTATTTATTACAAAGAAGTCAGACTATTTGAGTGGTAGGACTGGCTATTTTCAGTTTTGATTTAATTCTGTTTAATTCTGTCAGACTTTTATCTGTGGTTACGAATCAGGCTGGATGTGGAAATGTTCAGCTTTTTAGAAGTCTCAGAGTGAAGTTTAAGGTTAGTAATGTGAAATGCTTTAATCATGCTAATTAGTAATTTGTAATTTGATGCAGAATATCAACTACATAATTGCTTTTGTTTCAAAATAATAATATACTCACACACACAAAATGTGACATTGTTTCCTAATAGAAATGATTAATGACTTTCTGTTCACTGCAGAAAAGCTAGAAAGAAATATTTTTTCTGTTAGTTATAGTTATTACAGAAAATTGATTAAAATTGTTCTGATGGGTAAAAGATTTAAAAAATGGGATTTGGTCACAAAACTGATCAGTGCATTTTTTTTTTAGATGAGAAAGCATTTGTTGTATTTGTTGGTCAGTGAAAACAAATGAAGTCCTATTTGTATAACAATCAATAAGAATAAAAATATAAATGTTTATTGTCATTAAATACCTGCAGTTTAGCTGGAGTGTCTTCACTTTGATAGCACTTTGTCAGCTCAGACACTTTGTTTTGGAGGAGTTCAAGTTTCTGCTCCTTCTCTCTAATTTCTCCCTGTTGATAAAACAAACAATAAAAAACAACTATACAATCTCTTCAAGGTGTATCTGAATAATCATGTGCATAAATAACTGATCCTTATTTAACAGACCTAAACAAGTAATTCCTTATATCTTCTAAGACCTCTTAAAAACGTACCTGCAGCCCAGAGAGTCTTGCTGAGACCTTCTGACTGTTGCTGAAGTTGTTCAGGATCTCATTGAGTTCGATCCCACAGCTGCTAGTCCAACTCTCGATGTCTTCATTCAGGTTGCGCACGTCGCCCCACAGGTCCAAACTGTGATGGAGGCGATCGATGTTGTCCTCTATTTTCTCAGACATCTGGGGAAGAATTAAAAGGGATTAAAAGATGGCTGCCTGTTTCTTACAGTGAAGTTATTTGGTTTATATCAAGACACAATGATATGTAGTTTAAATACTCTGAACAACACAGAAAGTTTCCTCTGTAAGGAAGTGTGGAAAAAACATTCCCACAAAATACAACTAAAAGATAAAAAGTGACGCTATTTTCTTAATGATTTGCCTCCAAACCCAATCTGCTAGTACCTAAAATATTACCATATGGTATCGATAATGAAATATCTCAAAGATATGCTTACATCCAGCCAGTGATCAACAGTTTTCTCCATGTCTTTCTTTATCATATCACTGTCGCAGTCCGGGATCTTCTTCAGTTCAGTCACAAGATGTTTTCCTTTGACTGAAAACTGGTCCAGCTCTTGTTGCTTCCCACTCATCTCTGCCTTCAGTGATTCATGCTATGAAGGAAGCATACAAAGCAAAATGGTTCAACAGAGAAGCAATAAAAGAAATGGTTCAACAGAGAAGCAATAAAAGAAATGTTTCATCACAAGCTACTAAAAACGGTTCTTTTAGCTCACTAACCTTGGTTAGTGATCTCTTGGTTTCCTCATAGTCCTTCAGAACTGAGCTTATGTCCACCAGAGGTTCTGCACTCTCAACAATGCCCCCGATGCTGGTTTTCAGGGTTTGGTAATCTCTTGTTAGCTCAGCAAGAACATTACACTGCTCTTGTCTGAGAAAGATGACAAGCTTTAGATCACCATCTGCTAAAAAAAAAAGGTTAAAATCATCCAAGCGTTTCCTCTGCGTTACCTCTCTGTTATGAGCCTCCTTGTGTCCTCCCACGTCGTCTCCAGCAGACTAATTTCCCTCAAAACCTCCCCGGCCAGCTCTGCGTCTCTCTGGGCCAGCTGGTTGCCCTTGTCCCTCAGCCACTGCTCTTCGTGTTGGTGTGACTGAAGCTCATCCTCTAGCTGGTTAAAGAACCGAAGTCTGACAGACAAGAGGGACAACGTGTTATTACTGCGTCTGTTTTCACGCTCATAATGGCAGCAGTTATATATATGAGGCATTTACAGCGCTTTGTCAAAACTATTCATGTCTTTGCCATGAAGTTTGTCACAACCACAAACTTCAATTTATTTAACTGGGATTTTATGTGATAAACCAAGATAAATTAGTGTACAAGTGTGAAGAGGAAGGAAAAGAATACAACAAAATCTGGTAACACTATTTGAAGGGGTTACAACTGTCATAAACATGAATGACTCTTCATGATTACGACTGTTGTCCTGAAGTTTCATTCAGTAATTAATGACACTTTTAATTCAAAGGTGCTCTAAAAGTTGCATTAAAAGTTAAATGTTTAAAATTTGCATTATTCAGCAAATAATGACACTTTTAATGCAAAGTTCCATTAAAATTTGCATTAAAAGTCAAATTAAAGTATCAAATTTGCTTTAAAAGTGTCATTTCCCCTTTAAATATGACTCACTACATAAAACTGTGTAACCAGAAAGCGTGCATGTTACATTTCTAGGTTTTCTTCTCCTTCACAATAATGCTCTACGTTTTTGTGGATCCATCGCACAGAGTCACAGTAAAACACCCAAAAACTAAGAGAAAGTTTATGGTACTTTTACAAGACACTGGCAGAATTTTATGGGACTTTCTTAGCACCATACCGTTGCTGCAGCCCATGCAAGCTGGGCTCTTTGAAGGCCTGGTGGTCGGCTTTTTCCTCGATGTCTTCCACAGCCTTGAGCAGCTGCTCTTTCCGTTGCCTGAACGAAGTCCACAGCACACCCAAGGCCTCGGCTTCGCTTTGCTTCGTACCGAGCAAGTTCCTCACCGTGTCCAACTCGGCGCTGAGCGAATCGGCCAGCATGCGGCAGGACCTGCGAGAACCCTCTTCGGCTCCGATGTGGAGGTGACCTTTGCAGAGGCTGCTGTCCAGATTGACAGCAGAGGACTCCAGCTCACTGATGTCAGGAATAATGGCAGCGAGCTCCTGCTGCAGCTCCTCTACCCTTCCACGGTCCCAGCTCCCGGCGCTCTCCACCGTCTGCCTGAGACCACGCAGCACTCCTGCCACCTCGCCATGGGTCTGCAGGAAGGCCTCCAGCTTTTCCAGGCACTCCAGCTGCAGCTCAGCTAGACACTGAGCCTCATGGTAGGACTGGAGGCAGCTTTCTACTCTGTTATGGAGGAGCTGCGCATCAGTGGGCTCACAGATCTTGCAGAGCTTCTCGGTCTGCTCCTCTAAGCTTTGCTTCACGCTGGAGTTCTTTTGCAGGACCAACTGTGTCTCCTGTTAAAGCAAAAAGAACCAGGATAAATAGACTCTGCTCTGAAACAAAACATTATCCTCCAGTTGAGTCTGAGGGCTCGCTAAGGACAGCAGTAAAAGCTGGTAAACTAAACCTGGAGGATTTTTAACTTAATCAGCCTGAGCCAGTCAAGTGGAAACTGAAAAATTCAATGTTTTTCTAAGCATTGAACGCACCAAAGCACTACCTGGTTTCGCTAAAGACATCCCTAACTCATTGTGTTAACAAGTTAAGAAGACTTAAAGTTATATTGTAGGAAGGGTCAGTGGATGTACAGCACACTTTGTTTTGTCTGGTTTTCCCACAGTCAAGGTAAGGAACTACACAATAATGCTAGCTGCACTAGCCAGGTAATTAATAATATAAAGAGCTAAAGCTGGTTTAGAATGTAATCATCTTGTATTTGTTTAAAAGTATTAGCAAAACCTTTGTCACAGCTTCTTCTCTCTGCTCTGAACATAGACAAATGATGGCAGGAATGCCAGATCAAATAGTTTTAGTGGTGTTGTCAAACTTTTTAAAATGACAGTCCTTGTAGAGAAATCGAAATCGGCATGTCAGAGTTTTAAAATCACAAGTCAAAAATCAGACACATCTCCATTTTAAACAATGGTCTGGATCTCACCTTTACTTGAGTGGCAGATCCCTGCAGATTGCCGATGTTGATCTGAGAAGCTGTGTGCAGATTTGAGAGTACGGTCTCACTCCACTCAGAGAATTTAAGAAGAGCCTGGTCAAACTGCTCCACCAGCGACGCATGGCTCTGCAGCTCTGTGATTCTGGGAGAGAGAGAGAGATGCTTGCTTCACATTTCCATGTATTGGTGTTTAGCAGTTTTAGCATTCTCTAATATATTTTCCTCTTTTAGCTGCAGTTAGGCCTCTCAACACGTCGGAACAAATCAATAACAATAAATCAAACTTCACCAGAAACCTTGATCCGTTACTGGATGTATTTCTGTGAATGTTTTACCTCTGAGGGATGACTTCCTGTTGGACAAGCAGTCTTTGCTGCAGCTTCCCCAGCTCATCTGTTAGCTTCGTAACATTTTTTTCAGGTGCTGTGGGATATAACAACGTTCCCAGAGAGGCCAGGTCTTCATGGGCCTTTTTAAGGGACTCTACCTCAACCTGCAGAGCCTGAAAGAAAAACGTCAATGTGTCTCTGTAACAACAATGTCCTCATTTTAGGTTTAAATCGTAGTCATGTTGTTTAGATGTACATTGATGGTTTGCTGTACCTGCAAGTCTTGCATCTCGGTGCGCAGTTTGGCTTTGTCAGCAGACAGACAGTGATTTTCAGGTTTGGATGCAGACTCACTTCTCTCCAAGCAGGACACAAAGTTTGACAGCTGCTTCTCAAACCTGACGCAGAACAGGGACACTTCTGTCTTAAACTGTGAGATTAAAACCTCAGTTCACACTGTTAGCTGATTGTGTTGTTTTCAGATTAAGCCCTAAGAAGGGATAACTCTAGATTGTGAAGGATTACAATATGTCTACAATCTGCCAAAGCAAAGATGTCAGTCAGGCATTTAATTTTCCTCCTTTTTATCTGCTTTATAACTTTCTGAATCAGCTTTTGTGCAGGAATTTGAGTGTTTTCTGAATGAGGGTTCAACACTAATGCACATCACACTTTTGAGATTTTTAATAGCGCTTGTCTAGTATACAAGACTCCAATAAAACACGCTGAAGTTTGCAGTTTATTGCAAACATGTGAATACATTTCCAAGACACTAAGTGTTTAATGTTAGTTGAAAACTTGCAAAAAGAGAAATAAAATCTGTTCAAAAACAGCTGATCTGTTTTAAAAATCTTCAAATTTCAGTTTTTAATGAAGCTATGACAAAATTTAAAAATAGTGAAAAAACTAAAGTGGTATAAATTCAACCATTTCTTAATATGTTTCTGCATTTTCATATGTACTAATATAATGACTATATATGTTAGGTTCATATTCACAAACTCATACTTTTGCCAGGTAGATAGAAGGTTTTCCAAAGTGCTCTGCTTGTCCTTTGCTTCCTCCAGGGCATGTTGGTAGCTGGTGTTCAGCTCCGTCACGGCCCGAACCGCATGCTCCTTGTCACTGATTCGTCTGGCACTAGCTGACAGCGACAGTAAGTTGCCCTTCAGCTGCTCCAGGCACTGACAGGCATCCTAGGTAACAACATAAGACATTTACAGTTTGCAGCAGCTGCCTGTGAACCGACGTTAACACATGTAAGAACGACTAGCAGTCCATTATTTAAAAAAAAAAAAAATAATGTGTTTATTAACAAAGAAGAAAGCAGATCTTCATACCATGTGGCTCTGAAGGGCTTTGTAAGTCTCAGATGATGAAGTGCAGGATTTAACGGGACTCTCCAGTTTTGCATGAAGCTCACGAAGAGACGCTTGTACCTTTAAGAGAAGCAAGATCGAAACGAATATGTACGCCAACGCCAAATGCAAAGGTTATCCTGTAAGAATATGGGTAAACTATCAACCTCGTTCAGGTTCAGTGTGAACTTTTGCTGGTGAGAGGAGCTTTCCTCCAGCTGCCCGTCAAGCGTCTGAACGCTCTCCTTCAGCTCCTCCCAGTACCTGCCAATTTGGGTCAGACGGGCTTTAATGCGAGCCGCCTCGCCCGAAGACACAAACTGGGCCAGTGCCTGGGAGTCCGTCTCCAGCTGCGACAGGAACTCGGCTCGGTCTTGAAGTTCTGCTCCGACACCCTGACATGCAAAAATGCAGCAAAGTCGAGGATTAGCTGAAGAAGCACAGTCCTGTATGTTAAAGTAAGTTATGAACAGATGCTATGTGATTTCTTGCTAACTTAAACCTAGCAATGTTTTTGTCTTGCAAAATATTTACACCATTCTGGCTGTAAGCTTAAGGCAGCTTCCATCCGTCTTTACATAAATTAAGATTATTTTTAGTGTTCCTGCACAAGAAAAGCAATCCCAGTTTTAAATAGAGGACAAGAATTTCTTTTAAGTCTCATCTGACTAGGGAACGTTTCATATTTGCTGCAAAAATGATTTTTGACCTACTAGCCAGATTTGAGAGTAGAGATTAAATTTTGGATTAGGACTCGATACTTTTCCTTCCACTTCATACTTATGCACCACTTTGTGTTGGTTTGTCACATGAGATTTACAAAAAAAAAAGCCATTGCAGTTTGTGGTTGTTACAAGGCAAAATGTGCAAATGTTCAACAGCTTTGAAGACTTTTCAAGGTTGGAAATCCCAGAAACAGCAGCGGGTTCCTCCCCTCTTCTGGGTTTGAGACGAATACTGATGTACAGCACAGACAGTCTACCAACACATGACCAATGTGTGCTTTAAACCTCATTGATTTCTCATCAAAGTGCCATTTCTGTGGCTCAAAAGAGCTGTAGCTTAATGTTTAACCATATTTTACCTTAAGTGCTTTGATCTGCTCCTCAAGAGACAAATTAGATGATTTTATTACATCTAGCTGTTTCTCCTTTTCAGATATCCACGAAGAAAACGATTCAAATCCGGCTCTAAATCGATCCCACTGACTTTTCATCTCTTCCAGGCTCTTGACCCTAGGAGAAAACAAACTGATGTAAGCTGCAAAGAAACAAATAGTGCCTGGAATATATTTGAAAGAGCATGTGTAAATCATTGAGACTATCCCAATTAAAAATTATTATAATGCATTATTAATACAAGAAGTCTATAAACTTACTCTTTCTTCAGGCCGGTGTCTACTTTGTCCACCTGCTCGCTGAGCGAACGAGCTTGTTGCAGAAGCAGAGATTTGTTTTTTGGACCAAGTTGTATTTCTGTCGCTCTCTTCAACAAGGTGTTCATGTGTAAGACCTCCGCTTCGCACTGCTTCAGCATCACCTGTTCACAACACGGCACGATTTGCATTGCTTCCAGAGAATCCTCCAAAGTTTCCCTCGTATTGTGAGGAAAAATTCTCAGCGGATTGTTTTAGCTTTTTACTAAATGTACTCACGTTTGCTTGGTCCAGCTCAACGGCGAGGCTCTCTGGGCTGCTGAAATTCAGATCTCTGTCTATTGTGGAGCGGGCTTTGTTGACAAACTCGTTCACTGCTTCCTGCTGACTGTCAAACTCCTGCCAAGCAGCCAGAGTGACCTGAAACACACCAAATTCAACCTCATATAGAAGTATCCACAATGATTGAAAAAACTAAAATATTAATTTTTAAATGATCAGTGAAAAGTAGTAGTAGTAGTAAGGTGTGCGCTATGTGTGTTATCTCAGAGTTGTGACTCCTAATCCTTGGCTTCCTGGTCGTAATGTGGCGTTACGCTTTGGCTTCAGCGTCTAAAAACTCAGAATCTTTTTAAATAGATCTTGACTCTTTTTTTTTTTTTCTAATTTCAGTTATCAAAAAAGGGAGACAGAAATCAATCAAAACAAAATCTGAAAGTTGTATCAGTTATCAGTCATATTTGTTATCAAGATAGAGCGTTGAATGCTACTTATACCTTTATCAAAGGAAAAACTTTTCATAGTCTGAGATGCTGACCAGCTTTCTGTATTTTTCAACTGGTAAATGGACAAATTTCTTTCAGCGATGTCTCTGAGGTTGGAAAGCCTCCCTTCAGCTTTTTCCACAGACTCAGATTCAACTCTGAACTCTGGCTGGACCGCTCCAAAATGTTTATATTACTTACAGTCAAAAGGAGAAGGTTGGTAAAATATAAAAGAAAACTTCAAACATAAATCTGCCTGAAGCATGGAATAAGTTGTTGGCAATAAAATCCTTTTTCTGTGTGAGGCTGCATTTTTTTTTTTTTTTTTTTTTTTTTTTTACAGACTAAGCTAAATAAATGAAAACAAACTGGGGGTTTTTTGCAGCTTGAAACTGTCAAAGCATATATTATCCCTAAAAGAAATGGGTAAAAAAGAGGGAATTAAGAAATCTGTTATTTATTAACTAAAGCTGAAAAATGTGGTTGGATTGTAACTGTAACAATAACAGAAAAATGACACATTTCTGTGTCATTTTTAAAAGTGATTTTGATTTATAAGAATTATTCCTCTATTAAAATGATCAAACATATCTATTGGAATCTAATAATCGTTGTGTGAAAGGTAGCTTTTATGAAAGTTAAAATAATACTAAATGTTTAAATAATCTCTCCTGCTCACCTCCAGGTTTTGCTCCTGCGAGTCCATACTCTGCTCCATTTTGCTCACTGTGTTTTCTAAGCTCTGCATGTCCTGCTGCAGAGTCTCTCCCAGCCCCTCCTCAGACTGGAGCTGCTGACCTCTGGTGATCAGCTGCTGGACGTCCTTCCTTTTCAGCTTTAGGCGCTTTAACTGTTGCTGCGGATGGCCGAGTACATTCACATAATGAAGCTGATTTCATTAAACGGGAACACAATAAATAAATAAAGAAAAGATTCAATCTGTCATGCAACACCTGATGAACAAGCAGAAGTTGTTGGGCTTCTCTGGAAGTAGGACAGTCCAGGATTTTGGTCGCCTCGGCCTGTGCTTCTTTCTGCCCTTGAACCAGGTCATCCAAGGTCGTCTGTACTTCCTCTCTGAACTGCACACAGTCCCCCACTGCAAGCACCATCTTCTCAGCCTTGCAAAAAAATAAGAGAAAAATAAAAGATGGTGCCTTAAACCACTGTTTACGGTCAAAAAATCTGACGAGAAGACGTTGATGCCATTTTAGGAAACATGGAAAACATAAGAGTCAGATATTACTGCATTTATGACACTAGTTGTGATTATTATCCATTTTTTCCTCACTCATTATTTTTTACCATCTCAGTCTCCCCATTACTCTTCACTCGGTGTGTTTGTATTTTTTCATATCAGTGAATATTAGATCTTCTTCCTCTCTGATGAGTCCAGGACTCTTTTCACCACAACAAGCTTCAGGACTTCTTTATTTGAGCTTACGCACATTGTTTAAAGAAGTAATCTTAAATTCTCCATTTGTTATTATGACACTGATGTATGCATATTACACTTGAGCTCTCACAGAATTATATGTAGTGTTTTATTTTATTCTATATATCACAGTATACAACACATTTTACATGCTAATTTCATTTTGGGACACTATTTTAATGAATCTATTAATTGGGCAAATTCAACTACTTTTACAAAACTAAAACTTAGGACTTATCTGAAATTTCAAGCACCAAAATTCTTTCATAACATTGATGTTCAAATTTCACCAATGTGCTCCTCATGTCTGCAATCTTTGTTTCATATTATGCTCTAACTTTTACATTTTTTTAAACCACCTCTGGATGTACAGATCTGATTATTTGTTAAAAGAAATTTAAATAAACATGATGTCATGGTAAGAAAAAGTTAGTTTAATGCTTGGAACCGATCATAATAGTCCACTAAATAAGCAGCCCTTTGCCTGCGCAGTATAGTGCAAACTGGTATAGCAATTGTAATTCAATACACTGTGCAGCTATAATCATATTCTCCACATGTTCCTCCAAAAATGAGGTCACGGCCTTCAGCAACGGAGAGGAAATTGGACCTAAACGTCTCAGAGGTCTTCTTAAAAACACGCGAGTGACTTACCTCAAAGAGAGAGGCAAGGAGACCTTTAAAATCAGCAGAGAGCTTGCTCAGAGTGCTTCCCTGCCTTTGGGCATCACTGTCAGCACAGATTTCGATTAATACAGCCATACGGGCTTTCAGCCAAGCAAGGTTCCCCTCCTGGAGCTCTGCATCATTTCTCAGCTCCTGGAAACAAAAGCAAAAGTTGATGGAACTAACAAGAAAGTGTCTCGTCTCCTCAGGAGTGACACTGAGAAGTGGGCATTACGCTGCAAACGACAAACCGTGAAAGAAGCATGGCGAAGAATGTGACTCACCGTTATGGTCGTTTTCACCTGGTTGTACTTTCTGGGGTCGCTGGCTCGGTTCCTCAGCAGCCTCAGCTGACTTTCTTTGGATATAAGCCAACACGAGAGTTCAGCGTACCTGTTCAGCAACATGAAAGGGAATAAAGAAACCAATCAGAAAAGGGGGGAACGTATAAAAGCTTTATGTGCATTTTCGCTTATATATTTAAAAAAACAAAACTCTATCATCAAGAAGCTGTGAGACATATTTCTCACAAAGAAATATATACATATATGTTTTTAAATATATTATATTTAGGATTAGAAGTGAGTATCACTTCAGTATCAGGCTAATTATACTTTTCAATAATGCAGGTTTACTGTTTTTAATTGGGCAAAAATATTCATACTAACACACTGAAAATACAGCTGCGTCTGTAAAAAGCAGCAGAAGAACATAAATTACTTGAGGTATGTAAAAAACGCACAGTCACTCATGCTGTTGAAACATTTCTAGTTTATAGATTTTCATCAAAAGGAAGAGAAAAACTTCAACCTGCTTCTTTTCTCGTATCAGCTTAACTCGTCTCACAAAATGAATATTTTGTTGAAAATACTGCACCTTGCATCATATTCTTTCCATTTATCTTGGTGCTGCATTAACTTCTGATGAGTATTCCCAATTTCCTCCTGAACCTCGGCGAAGTCCCTTCTTGCTGTTTCCAGGATCTGGTGAGCCGGGTCGGCCTCCGGCAGCTTTTGGCAGAGTTCCTCCATCAACTGTAGCCGTTTCTCACAGATGGACTGAGGGCCCTTCTCCCTAAAAAACACCTAAAAAAAAACGGCATATTTCACAGCAGAACATGTCAGAACAACACACTGACCCAGGAAAATCTGTCACATTAAAACCATAAACTTCAATGTTATATCATGTACAATTGTTGCCCAGTTGTGAAGTATGAGAAAAAAAAAGGATACATCATTCTCAGCATTTTTTTTTTACAAACAAGTCTAAATTTATGGCTAAATGTGAACCATGATATGCCAAGAAAACCCAAGAAGGAGCCATCTTGATGTCTGAATGTGGGTTCGCCTCACATCAACCCCAAGCTGACTACCAGATCGGTGTATGAATGTCTGCATGTTTGTGAGTTCCAGGCACTGAAAGTATGAACCAGGGTGGCCTGAATACAAATGGCTTTCTCCTTTCACTTTAAAAGTAAGCAACAAAGCGAAAGTGTTGGTCTGTCACATGAAAATCTCAATGAAAACTTTGACGTTTGTGTTTCTGCAGGGCACTGTCATCTTTTTCCCACTGGAATAAGCACCACATGTTGACTAGTGCTGTGCTCACCCTGTGCTCCTTGATGAGCCTCTCACTCCCCATGTTGGCCAGGTGCCGGTTCTCCCTGGTCAGCTCTGCCTGGCACTCCTGCAGCGACGCCATCAGCTTGCTCCTCTCGCCCTCCACCTTCAGGTGCAGGAGATGAAACGGGGCGTCCGTCTGAATGTCCTGAGGAAAGAGGACGACGCTCATGAAGTCTGCGCTCATATTTATAACAGAAAATGGTTTCAAGTCACTTTCTCACAGCTGAGGTGTTGGAGAAACACAAACTCTAAAATTATATTTGACTACGTGTTATGACAGAACTATAACAGAGAAGTGAGTATTTAAAATATCTTTGCGAAGTAAAACTGCATCTTTAAGATACCAATATTTATTATTACAAATTATATGGATTAATTTCAACCAACCTTCCAGTGTTTGTGGAGCTTTCTAACCGTTTCCTGCAGCGACTGCTGCTCCTGCTCGGGTAAAATGTCTGTCAGCTCATCACAAGCCTTAAGGAATGAATTTAAAATCCGCTGGTCGAGCTGTCCGAAGAACTCCTGCAAACAACACCGGGATATTTTTCAGGGTTCACATCCCATCTGAGAGACAGCAGGCCTATTAAACATGTATGTGTATGAACCTGGTCACCGGGTCACAAAACACACGTTTCCTTTTTAGTTCAGTCATGTAATTTTTTTGGTAAATATGCTGAAAGTTGCAGTGTAACTTGTAAATGAAGTTAAATTTAACTTTAAAATTAGAAACCTATTTATTTTACGATGTTGCAGTTATTAAAAGACAGTCTGGTCTTAAAAGGTGAGAGGTAAAATTAAGATTTTTCTTCTGAATGCATCTCATTGAATGAAACTTACATAAGCATATAATTAATATGTTTCTCTTTGGCCTGTTTAATACAGGAGTCTGCAACTCTTAATAACTTTCACTAAAAATAATAAAGAACTAACTAATGTTTTTAAACCTAAGGTAGATATAGTAAATGCAATTTTAACAGTTCTTCAAGGGTTTTTCATGGAATAATTTCTTTGAAATATGGACTAAAACTGAACCTGTATGCTAAAAAACAGAAAACAAAATTATTTTAAAATATGGGTTGACAGAGCAGAGTAGAGTACTGAGGTGGATAGCACATGACTCAGATTTTAAACCTAATGTAACAGACAAAACATTTAGTAAATGGGAAAAGGGCCCAAAGATATTCTGGGAGATGGTTAAGAAAAATACTATACAAAGCTTTGAAGAAATAAAGAATAAATATAAATTAAACAACAAGGATCTCTACAGGTACTTACAATTGAGGCACTATACGGAGGAACTACTAAATGGATAAATTTAATTGAGTTTGAATCTGGTATAATTAAGATGTTTATTTCAGCAAATGAATCAAACTTGGGGAAGAAAGTAATTTCAAAACTGTACACAGGATTGGAAAATTTGAAGAAAAGTAATACAGCATACATAAAAGCAAGATGGGAAAAAGATGCTAATTGTGGGCTTTTGCAGGAGAACTGGGAGGAGATATTTCAGTACGCCAGCACAAAGAAAACACCAAGATACAAAATGCTGGAGGCAGTGCGGAAAAGACAGAGCGGGTCACTTCCATGTGTTTTGGGATTGTGCCTACATGGTACCCTATTGGCAGGACGTAAAGAATTGTTTGGCGAAGGTACTGGGGGTGAATATTCCACTTACATTTGAGGATCTGTACATGGGAAGAGGGATGGAAAGCTTCACAAGAGCAGGCGATAGATATATGTACAGGATTATGTTGGTAGCAAGCAAAAAAGCCATTACTAGGAAATGGCTGAAGACAGAAGCTCCTAAAAGGGAAGATTGGGTTGATGTAATGCATAATATTTATTTTATGGAAAGGCTGACTTTTTCCATCAGATTAGAATCTGGAAAATTTAAGAATTATTGGAAAAATTGGCAGGGTTTTACTTCACCATGGAGATTAGACTTTATTGATTAATAGTGTGGTAACGGGAACCCTTATAGAGCTATAGATTGTAAATAGTTGGCTTACAGTTTGTTTCTGATGAGAAGAGAGTTAAAATTGTGATGACTCAGAAGAGAAGAACAGAAAAAAAAACTGGATGATCTTTTTGTTTGTTACAAGTGAATGGATAGATTGGATATCATCTAGACTAGCAAAGTTGCTATGTCCAAGGCAGGTACAGATTATATGTGCAGCTTTTCTTGAATGATATGTATGGAACATTTGGAAAAAGAAAATAGTGTAAAGTCTGTATGTACACTTGCACGGAAAAATTGTCAATAAAAATGTGCAAACTAAAAAAAAAACCCATAGAAAACACACAGAGTAATGTTTTAGTGACTGATGATGAATCCATGTCGGTTCCTCCCTGAATCGGCTTTGCTTTAAAATTTGTAAAAGAGAAAATTGGAATTATTTAAATTTGTCTTCGTGGCTCAAATTTGTTCAAAACTGGAGATCAAAAGTCAGCCGCACATTTCTGATTGGTGCACTTGTTGTAATTGTGTCGTTAAATTAAAAAAAAATACACTGAACCAATTAATTTGATTAAAGACACTTCAATCTGTAAAAATAGCCCTACGGTGTGTTTCTTCAGCAGCTCCTCAGGGTTGCCTCTTTCCGTCAGACAGCTCTGTGCCATTTTCAGAACCTTTTCCAGCTCCACTCGTGACTCGTCAAACCTCTTCATCAGGCTGCTGTTTGCCTCCACGTGCTTTCGCCATTCTGTAGATTCCTTAATCATGTTCTGCAGGCGATCAAACGAGTCATTACTTCCCTGCCAAGGCATTAAATGAAGCCGTCTTTGATTATTAAGGTTACCTGTGACGAAGTCTGCAGGTCTGCCACTCGTTTCTGCAGCAGACTCATGTCCATGTGCTGGAGCGTTTTACTGGTGCTCATCACTTTTTGGATGGTTTGGTGGTTTCTTTCTATTACCGTCAGGCACTTCTTACAGCTGTGTGTGAAGGTTGCCAGCTCCTATTTAAATGTATATAAATAAAACCAGACAATTAAGAAATTTTATTTGACATTTCAATCCCTCTGCATGACATTTATGAACAGTTACCTGGCATTTCTGCTTAAAATCTACTGGTCCCTCAGAGTCGGTGGTGCTGGTGATACGACTGGCCTTCTCCAGAGCCTGGTAGAAGCCGGTGATGTTCCTCTCCATTTCCTCCAGTGGAGGTAAGAGAGACTGAGACTCCCTAAGCAGAGGCAGACATCTCTCCCTAACCTGACCGGAGAAAAGGCACGTGGAAAAAAACATAAACACGACATGTTATTTAGAGGAAACATCATTTAAGATGTATAGATCTTAAATGTATAGATCCACACCCCTTCATTTAACAACCACAAATACAATAAATTCTTAATTTATTGAGAATTTATGTGACAAGCCGACAAGCCGACGAGCCAACGTAAAGAAGAGCAAGAGGTCCGTGGTAACTCTGGAGGAGCTGGAGAGATCAACAGTTCAGGTAGGAAAAGCTCCTAGAAGGGCAATTAGCAATACACCCCACATGTCTGGCTTTTATGGAAGAGAAGGAAGAAGAGAGCCATTGTTGAGACGTTTTGGCTAACATGACGTGCAGAAGAAAACTAACATAACTTCCCACCTCCACCTGATAGAGCTTGAGTAATTTTGCAGAGGAACAGGCAAACATTTCAGTCCTATAAAGCTGGCACTGAAAATTTTTATTTTTCCCTTTACTCCACAATTATGAACTACTTTGTGTTTGTTACATCAAACGTCAATGAAATACATCAAAGTTTGTGTTTTCAACAAAAAAAAAAAGGCCAGGGAACACTCTTTGTTTATTAGCACAAAACAATGACTTGTGTCCACGAAGCAGAAGAAGGCACAAAAACAGAAATGTGTGAAAAGTTGTTGAACCCAAATAATTAAGAAATCCTAGCAGATTATATTGGCTCTAGGATTAGGAGATCGTAATTTAACAATCTTTTATCATTTTATTGCAAAACAGCACATGCTGTTGTACACACACTCACTTTACTGAGCTGCTCTTTGATCAAAGCCATCACAGCCATCATTTGAGAAATCTCCTCTTGCGGAGTGTCTTTGGTCAACAGCTGAGCTGTGCGGCTTGCTGCCTTGGAGGCCGCTTCCATCGCTGGCACTTTGTGCTTGATTTCCTGTCCCAAATTAAAAAAAAAAAAGTCAAGTAGCGACATACAGAAAAGAAAAAGACACAGCACAGGTGTAAACTGAGAGTGAAGGTGATGGTCAAACCTCGACGTCTTGAACGAAGGCTCTGACGTTGAGGAAAGACACTTGAACAGGAGCGGTCATCTTCTCATTGGTGGCATCCATGAACATCTTTAAGGTATTAATCCCGTCTTGATAGTCTTGCCTCAGTTTATCCACCTCATCTGCTCTTGCATACTGAAAATGACAGAGGGAAGGCAAAACACGTCACGCTTTCTGTATGACTTAATAAATCTGCGTCTGCTTGGTAACATCAAACTTACATGTTTGACTTTGACAAATAGCTCTCTCCATCTCCCATTCAGCAGAAGAAGCTGCTGCTTTAGATCTCGAGAGACGGTTTCGTCACATGTTTCAATGAGAAAATTCCCAGCGTCGTTCATGTCCATGTGCTGCTGGATCCAGTGAGAGAGATTTCTGAAAAAATCCTGACAGGGAAAAGAAGAACTAAAACAGGGCCTGACGACACGAGACAATCTGAGATCAGAATAAATTTATTTAAATGCAACGTTCCCTGTTGTCGCCACTCAAGCTTCTGAATGTACTTACACGCTTGGCGCCCTCCGACCTGTTGAGCATTTGCTCGGCGTCCTCCAGCCAGGCCTGCAGTGATGCCACGGTGCTGCTGTATTTCTCCCAGTTACAGATCACCTCTTCCAGCATGCTGCGAACACTTCGGACCTCCAGCGCCAAGTTCTTCCACTGAGCCGTCGTTTCAGTCAGGAATTTGCTCACGCCCTCTGCTTCATCGACTGGAAATGAAAGCGGCTCACTTTAGCATAAGTTTATAGGGTTCCTATTTACTGTTACTATCTTGCAAAAGTATTAGTACTAGTGCTAACTAGTACTTCCTGAACATTTTCACATTATGTGATAATACAACCACAAACTTCAATATATTTTACAGGGATTTTATGTGATAGACCAACACACGGTGTAGTTGTAAGAATGAAAAAAAAACAATAAAAGTTGTTTCTTTTAACAAATAAAAAGTATTACTTTTGCTACAGTGTAGTCATTGGTGGTGTGTCTGTAGCAGCTTGTTTTTATCCAGAGGATAAAATTTCTGCATGTTCTTCTATGCTAAATAGCTGAAGCTCAATATGGTTGAATGGAGAGTGTCTGTAAACATCGATATTAAAGTCTTTCCGAAGATTGTCAATAAATTGTGGACTATGCCTGCACCACTCCCACCTCCCAGCATGATGCTGCCACCACCATGTTCAACTAATGCACCAGTTCTGCATTAGTTTTCCACTGCACAGGGAGTTTTACATGTAGGACATGAAGAACGTTAATTTTATGCTTAGGATATTATTATATAAGCTTGTCTTGATTTAAACTTCTCCAGAACTTTCTCCCTGGCCTGTATGCTGATGATGCCTGCAAGAAACCTCACAAGTTTCTTACACGCATGTGTTTCCATAAACAGATAGATTATGGAAATACATGCATGCTAACTCAATTAGGTCACTTTTGTTTGCACTAGATTTTATTTACATTTAAGAGGACTGAATCTAAATTCTAGCTGCTTTTTCAGGATTTTCAAGGCTAAAAAAAAATTCAAAGCCATTTATCATTTTCCTTCAGTTTCACCATTACACATTGGTTTGTGTTGGTCTGTTACAAAAAAATCCCAACAAAATACAGTGAGGTTCCAGGTTGTGATGCGGGTTCAGGTGGTATGAATACTGTGGCGAGGCTCTGTAACATACTGCAAATGATTCTGCATGTTGATCCTTTTGTACGTTGCAGTGTGTTAGGACTGTTAAACATGCTAAAATACCATTGCAACTACAGTTACTCCCTCATGCATAATGCACCATGACCTTTTTAGTTTTTGGAAGCAAAAGATGGTTGAAGCCAAAAACAGACCGAGAGTTACAGAAAGGAATGGAAACAGGCACGTTTTATTTCCCAAACATCGTTTCCGGACTTACCTTTGTTACAGGTTTTAGTCCCTGTAACATAAAATTGATAGACCAAACAAATGCTCAGTTTATGTATCCCAGTATATCGCAGTATGCAGTAAGATAAATGAATTAGAATCTTACTTGAGCTGTCAGACTTCACATAAACCTCTGCAGCTTGTTTCAGGGCTGTGAAGATGATCTCATACTGGTCAAAAAACCTGTGGCCTTCAACAAAACTCTACAACAGAAACAGGAAAACGATTTGTCACACAAACTGATTCGCTCTAACAGAACACATCCGGTGTAAATAATTTCGACTCACAAGGTAGCTTTGCAGCAGGAGCTCGACTGACTCCCGTCGGCCATATTTTATAATCCAGGACTTGAGCTTAGCCTCCGCCAGCACCAGAAACGCCATCAGTCTGTACTTTATTTCCCAGAATTCCAGCTTTATCAAGTGAGAGTGTGATGAAGTTGACACAAAGTTGAACCTGAATATTAAAGAGACATCAAAGACCGTGTCGTTTGCTGCAACAGTTGCATGACTAGAGGGAAAAGGAAACGGCGCCACACCTTTCTGCCATGTCCTGGAGCTGCTCGGGCGGCACTGGCACCCCGTTCACTGATCTGTCCTTGTGGATCTGCGTGAAAGTCTGTCTGTGGGACTCCAGGCTTTTCAATACTTCCTGCAACACAAAGACAATTATAGTTAGTGAGACAATTATAGTCTCACTAACGTTTAATCTAATTAAAAATGCCAACATTGATGGGTGCGCAGACACTTTACCTTGTGCTGCTCCAGTTTTCTGTGCAGAACGTTGGCGGTTTCTTCGTGAACATGTTGGAGGGGGATGTCCTCTCGCAGAGCCATCTCCGCTCTGTGAAGCCAGGCTCCAATCACGCCCAGCGGCCCGGGCAGAGACTTGTCCAGATGAATGTGCCAGTCCAACAGCTGCAATTGACACCCAGTGCAAAAAAAAAAAAAAAAAAAAAGATCAGACAGTGGAAGAAGCTGTTCTAAACACAGAGCTCCTGTATGTTCACAAGCAACCGCGCTGCAACAGCAGATTATTCCACTCTAAACAAGCTGCTAATGCTCAAAGAAGTGGAGTATCTAGTGAACAAAACGCTCTCTGTTCCCACACTCCCACTCCACAATAAACACACTCATTCAGCCCCTCGGCACACCGAACTTCACTGGAAGTGAGGAAACAAAGAGATTTCTTTTAATTGAAGAAAATAATAAATAGCCTGCTTTAAAGGGGACATATGCAAAATCCACTTTTTAAACGTAAATGTTTTTTTCTCCTGGTGCTGGATAGTTTGTATTCTTTTTGTCAGTCTGTTCATGTTTTCTCTATTTTCTATAGTATTTTTTTTGTCACAGCATTTGAGGTGGAACTGCTGAAAAAGTCATGACATTTTCAGATTCACAAAACAAAATCAGTTTTGTGAATCTCTCATGTTTGTTCCTCAGAGCAGTTTTGTAGTCCAGGTGTAGTTATGCCAAAGTTGCAAGTAAAGAAGTCAAAATGTTCAATTCCAGCCTGTACTAACCCACAGGATTCCTTACATGTTTTTTATTAATAAAAAAAAATGTTGTAATGAATTAGCCATTGTATCACATTAATGGGAATTCACATGAATGAGCAGAAATAGGTGGGAATAAAAATGGATTCAAGCTAAACTATTGAAGTTTGGGCTTTAAAGGAAAATGTAAATAAAAAAAATCAATAAAAACAAAAAACATAATTAGTCAGCATAACTTTTCCGCTCTATGTCCTATAAATGATGAAGAATGCAGTGTAATTACCCGGGCAGACAGGCGGTCCCAGGCCTGCTTGACCAGAGCTTGGTCCACTGACAGTTTGCCTTCCTTGTGAACAGGTTGGAGCAGCTGATCCGTTTGCTTCTTCTTCATTTCATACTGAACATGAAAGTTTTTAAATGCCTGCAAAACACAGAGACACAATTATTGCAACAACTTTTCCTCGTTCAGAACAGGTGGCGTTTTTTTTCCCTTCCTAATCAAACTCACCTGGTATTTGTCAGTGAGGCTTCCTTCTGTAGCCTGGGCTCGCAGCAAGTCTCTCTCCAGCTGATCCAAAAACACCTTCAGCTCTCTGAGCATCTTCCTCTCTTCCCTCTGTCACAGTCAAATGATAAGCTGCTCAGTTTAAGCTCAAACTTAATCCAAAACCCGTTTTTTTCCCTTAATTAACATGCAACCAGGACACTTAAATGAGATTTTAAGACAGGAATGTAAAGATAAGGTTAAAAAGTCTGCATTAAAATTAACAAGCCCTGCACACAGAAGCAAGATCTGCATTAAGAGAAACAGTTAATTTTAGAAACAGAAGTAGAAAAAGCAGAGATTTAAACAAACGGTACAGTAGAAAACTCAAGCATTTATTTGAACATACCTCAAGCATTTGCTCTATATCTTGAGGAACAAACTTTCCAGGAAAGCATCAAGAGAAATGCAAACACATCAGAAAGGCATAAGAACAGCAAGGAAACAGAAGTGAAATGGATGGAAACATGAGATGAGGGAACGGACACTCCGAACAGAAAGCATGCAGTACTCTGACCTGAACCCTCACCTGCAGTACTGACACTGACAATGCAAAAGTCGGAATAGAGCCGAGAAGCAGCTTGATGTACAAAAAAAAAAACAAAACAAAAACAAAAGTGGATGGGGAAAGAAAATCAAATAAGTCTGTGCTGATACAAAATAAAGCATAAAACTCAGCTGGCATCGATTTCTATTAGAGATGCACAGAGAAATCAAATGGTGACCAGAACCGGACCGGGACGTCTAGACATGTTCCAGCAAGCTCACTTTAGGAAAGGTCAGAAGATGCTACATCTGCTACAGATTTCTGATCAGTGCATTTCTAATACTTGTAATAACAGATCAAAGCTTTATTCTATCAAATGACAATTTGAATGAATAAAGTGGATTTCAGTGCATAGCCTCTCTAGAGGGTGTTTTTCTTTATCCATATATATTCAAATAACACAGGAGTTTTAGGCTTATTGACAGGAGACATGGAGTAAATGTTACTTCATGTCCTGAAATAAAAAATGTGCTTTGTACTGCATGACCCGGACTGAGAAAATTATAAACTTGACCAAAGTACCTCGTCCTGCTGTCCGTCACCCTCGGAGTGTTGGGGGTTTGGGTAATGCTTGAGAAACTGAGCCACGTAAGTCATGATGGACTTTTCATCCGGCTTGTCGACATCCACATCTACAGAGCAACACAAACATGATCTTAATAGCTGCTTTAATAAACCTTGAACAGCAGAAGAAAATCCAAGCCTTCAATAAAACTGAAGCGCAGAAGCAGGGACAAAATGCAACAAAGCTCTTACATCTGGTACCAGCGGAACAAAAGACGTTCCCTCCAGAGATTAAATCTACTGAGGCTGTCAGCTAATTATACATGTCTACTTTTATCCACACTGCTGGCCTGACACTACAAATCAGAGCCAGGCTCCTGCAGCCACATATTCTTATGCAGCTCTGTGTGTTTTAAAGCATCTCCAGTAAGTGAAGCTAGGACTGCAGAGTCACTGCAGGCTGCTTTCCTTCCCTTCACTCACAGTCTGCACGCTGGTAAAACTGAGTTTTAATCCTCTGGAAGGTGACATTGGCCTTCTTAGTATGAGGAACATTAATGTAAATCCGTCTGACAGAATTTCATATTATTTGTACTTCTGTCATATCTAAAAAAAACAAACAAAAAAAAAAAACGGTTGACCAGTGTTACCTGTTTAGAATAGTTAGCAATACTAAAAACCTTTAAGGCAAAAGCAAAAACAGAGAACAGAAACGAGGAGACCTTCAGGATCCAGCAGGCGAGGAATGCCCAGCTCGTTTTCTGCGAGAGCAAAAGCTTCCTCCAGATTCTCCCTGTTGTTCCTCCGCCGCACCACTTCCATATCCACCAGATCGGGCCTGATGGCGTGCACTACCGCTTGAAAAGCGACGCCGCTACGCCAGCTGGACCCAAAGTCCTTCACCTCGATTCCAAAATCCCTGAAAAACAAAACAGTGAGCAGCTCCGGCTTGCAGGACTTTTAAAACGCGAGTGAGCACAGAGCTGTTTGATAAATCAACTGGATTAACGTTTCTACTTTAAATCGGAAACCTCAAAAGTGTGACGTACTTGGCGGCTGTGCACTGCACCCATCTGAGCAGAGCCTTCTTAGCATTGCCCTGAAATTTGTTGGTGACCTTCCTCTTCATGGGAGGACTTCCTGTTTCACAGCTGGCTGTGCTGTCCACGGACGAGTTGCTGTTGGATAACGCCTGTAGAGCTGGCAGGTTGCTGGTTAACTCCTCAATCTGGTTGAGAAACAAACAAAAGAAGATAAGTGGGGACAAAATGTCAGTCTGCCTGACTGCTGATATCAGCTTCAGGTAAAGTTAGCTGCGCGCAAACGTCTTAGAGCCAATCAGTCTCAAGTTGTGGTACAAGTACAGTTGGTGGGATGCCTTTTGTATGCTGCCAAAGACGTTCAATGTTATTTAATTTAACTCATCAAATGGAGAGGCAGCTATTCGTTACTATTTTAACAGTTTGTTGGTGGGTTTTATGAATATATTCTGGCTCAACTGGCCCTTTGAGAAGATTTGTGATTTTAAAAATGAAAATGAGTTTGACAGCCTTGGTGTAGAGCCAATGAAAATATTTTTTTCTTAAAAGTTGGGTTGTTTTAAAATGCATGTCAGTATGTGGTGGTAGTTGGAAACATTCACTCCTTGGCGCAAAAGGTTTGAGGACTGCCACACATTGTGCGATTAATTGAAAATTGAAAAGGACTTGAACATCTCATGCTGTGGACTCAATATATTATAAGATCTTGATAGTCAATCCTGTCATACTTTAAGATTAAACAACCATTTGAACAAATTCTTTAGTCCTTTTTTGGGTCATCTTGATATAGAATTACCTGAAAGTAGAGGATGATGGTCCATATCAAACCGAGGACGATGGACGGCCTCCCATCGGCAATGTCAGTGGCATGGATGTTGACGAGTTTGATCTAAAACCAAAGCAAGAAAAAATGTCAACACCCTAATTTATTTTTAGACCGTTAGGGAGAGAAACCCAAAGTGTCTCACACATAATTTTTTCCTTAGTTTTCATTCAGACCAAAAACAACAATGAAAGTCATCAAAGTCAAGCCTTTGATGCAGATAAATAGTGTCATTGTCAGAGGCAGAAGCATGAGTGAGAAGACAACCAGATAAAAAGTCGACAGAAAAGCAGATGCACTACTGTGATTGCAAACGCTGCTCTGCAGAGCTGCGGCAACTTGCTGGATTTAAGTTTCTACACTCGAGCAGCTAAACTGCAGCCCAGAGCACGCGTCGGTCGGGTTCCACTCAAAATGCATAAAAATGCAGGCTATCAGAAACACTTGCAGCTCTCTCCCAAGTCTGGCAAAATACACATCATGCACTTCATGAAAGCATTGCGTGTGACGGCACAAGGTGTTCAACAGCAACTGACCGGTGATCCTCGGTACAGAGACTGAAAGCAAACGTGACGGGAGAGAGATCACAACAATTTAAGTTTCAGTCCTCAGGGAATGCATCGGAAAGTAGGACAGGAGATTTAGCGACGGGTTATGCAATGAAGAAATCCTGTCATGCCTCCATGAACAAAGTGAATGTTTTGCAGAAAGAGACACTATATGCTCACTGACAAATACGGAACTAAACGTCATGCTTTCCAGTGAGCCTTTCAATCATTCATCTAAATGTGTGCATGTTTGTTTTTTGTAGTGAGACATACAGTTGTGTGTTATTTTAACACAACAGAACAGAAGGAACAGCTTTAACCAAGGCACCGACAGTGAAATTGCCAACTGCTGCTTTCATCATCCTCTGTATTTGTCCAACTTTCTGTAACTACTTTACACGTTTCTGGGGGAAATAGACTCAAAGAGCTACTTTCCATTTAAGTAAAATGTTAAAAGAATTGACTAAGAGGAAGAATAAAATATTTAACAGGCTGTTTAAAAGGAACCTTTATGTTCTGTTACATCTTGAGACTACAATTTGTTAAACCTGCAAGACAGTGAGAGAGGGCAAGTCAACGGATAACAGGAAGGCTGAATGAAGTAAATCCTTTGGAGCTTTTAGCTTCTACCTGTTAGTAAACATGATGGATTTGGGAGCATTGCGAGCTTTTCTGAAATCTAAGTGTTAAGGGATCTATATTTTTAAGAAAATGCATCCAAAGACTGAGGTTTAAGTAATTTTAGCCACTAGTTGCTAAGAAATTGTGATTGATGCATCTTTAGTTAGTCAAGATATGGACATTAGTGTTTTGCTCTGGATATGAAGCATTCTACCTAAATGGTTGTGGGTTTTCTGCACTTAAAATGTTTTATTCCATATATTATTGTGACCAGAGTTTTTTTTTCTTCACATTTTACTGTTGCCTTAGCTAAATCAATAAAAACCTGACAAAGAAAAATAGGCATTATACTACAAATTAATTTAAATACTAATCAACAATAAATGTGTTTCAACTTTCAGCTAATTCACTCGAATTATCCGAGTGTGAATTATCTAAAAGATAATTAACTTTATCTGGATCTTTAATTATCAACATAATTAATAAAGTTAATTAGGTTGGGGTCACAATATTTAACCCCAACATGTTGTGGGTCAAATGTGTTGAAGTCCTGAGTCAATACTGGTTTAAAAACTACACTGACTCTTAGACTGAATAGCTGTTGGATAAACCTCAAACACACGTGAATAAAAATGATGATGTGAATTTATTAGATGTGTGAAGAATTACTCGAATTCAGTTAAAAATATAAGTAATTGCAAAGATGGTAAGATTTAGTTATATAAAAATGAATACAATCAAAATAAATAACCACACTTTCAATTTGTTAGTTAAAAAATGAAAAAAAAAATATTCAAAGTGCTGAATGAGGCTCTTTTTATTTCACATTTACAGTTCAGTTTCCTGCTTGCATCTTTAAGAGCTTTTATTGTCTTCCAGAAATACGGATAAAACATTAAACGCCATAATTTCATGCTAACCTTTCTGCCTTCGAGGAACTTGAGTGCAGTGCCGATGTTGGAAACCCAGTGAATCCTTTTCAGCTGGCGGCCTTGCTCACAGGGCTGAAGACAAAGAGGACAGAAATGTGAAATTAATACGCAAACCAAGGAAGCGTTGTTGTTCAGTTCAGTGTATTATGATCATAAGATTCAAATACACATGGCATAGAGACAGTTTAAATTAGCTTTTTTCACATAATGTCAGAGATAGTAACTTAAGTGGAGCTAGTCAATTTGGGATTTTATTTAAAGGCATAAAATGCTTATGGGATATGTCTGGGGATTTTAGCACATTTTTTTAACTTGTGAGAATGAATCATTGTGAGGAAAGAATAGTTAGGAATCATAGTTAATTTTTTTCTGAAATTAGATTTACTTTTGCAAAAAGCAAGTTAGTTCCAGGTGACCTTCCTGCTAAAATACCTAAATATAACACATCCAAGGTTTGGTAGAACCTAAGCCAGGTGTGAGAAGGGAAGATTTTTTATTGTGGGTCGGTATGTCAAGGCAGAAATGTGCTGTTTTCCAAAAAAAAAAATAAGGCGTAGTGTTTCTAACTTCTGTTTACAGAAACCCAGTGTTGGAGAATCAAACAACAATGCAAAAAAAATAAATAAATAAAAATAAAATAGAAGTATGAAAAACCCCAAAGATGTCTTATCATTTTACAGATACAAGAAGGTTTGGATATATGAAAACAAATTGGGTCAAACTGTTAGCGTGCCCTTGAGAGTGTAAGGATGTGTGTTTCTCCAGTCAGACAGATGAACAGTAAGATCAAAAAACATGTGGTAAGTGCTTCTCACAGCAGAGAAGATCAGAAAAAATTCTTGAAAGTGATTCCAAAATAGATAACTTTGTTCTTCAAGACAAACCACAAACTGAATTGTTGCAGTCTAGTAAGAGTCATCATAATTAAATGTTTCAGATGCTTAGAAAAATCTGACCAGAAATGCCTGCAATGACCTTGATTTGCACACATAACTTTCACTATAACTAGGAGTCGATCCCGATAAAAAAGTAAATATTTTCAAGAAATAGTTAAGTTCTGATTAAATTCCAGACAAGACAAATAAACTCTTGTTTACCAGTCGTTGGCCAGACAGGACCTCCAGCAGCGCCAAGAGCTTCACCCCATCCTTAATGTCCTCAAAAAGATCGTTCACCTCTAGTGGCGGTTTATGCTGGTAGAGGAAAAAAGAAAGCAAAACATGACAGTTTATAAAAGAGCTGAAAAGAAATGCTTGTATGCTGTAGAGTCCACACTGTGATAAAAAAAAAAAAAACATTAGTATTCTAGTCCATTACCAGGGATGAGGAAGAACCGAATGCTGTTGGTGAGAAACAGACTTGTTAGCAGCAACCACTGAGCCTCCCTGCAGCTGAAAAGATGGTGCTTTTTCCACAGCAGTGGCGCGATGCCCAGTCCTCAGGCTACGGCGCTCATTTAACCCCAACAGGACACAGTCTCCTGATATCATCTTATTTACACATTCAAAGCCTCAAAGAGATTAAATGACACTATAATCTATTGTCTCAGACAAAATAAACGTTTAATCTGCAAAGCCAAAGTTTAATTAAGAAGCAAAAGTGCTCGTGGGAATACTTTTTTTGGCACATTATCCAGGTCATTTCCCAACTCCGCATACTGCATGGTGGAATTGCAATGGCTGCCTATTTGGGGCAAAGCGGTCTGAAGTCCTTTACAACAAACTGTCTTTTTCTCGAGACAATCACATTTTTGAAGTAATATCTGCACCCACAGCGCCCTGCTAAATTATTACGGAAACAGCGCTGCAGAGGTCAAACCATGTAGCTGATTGTTATGTGTTCCCACTAAATACGGTCACTTTGCAAAACTATTCATTTCCTTTAGGGTTTAAAAAAGAACAAAATATGGAAAAAGGCAACAATTTATATTTACTGGAATACCACTTTAAATGATAATCAGCCAAAAATAACTCAAGAATAAAAAAGTATTTGGTAGAAAGGCTGCTACCGTACTGAGAAATTGATCATAACACCTGATTTTATATTTTAAAATGTCGTCAGTTAAAAAGGTTGTGAGCAAATTCTGGTGTTTTAATTTCTAAAATAGAAATATTTGTTACATATAAATACAGAACAACACATTTAGGCAGAAGAAACACCTTTTCAAATCTTTTTTTTCAATATTAAACTTAATGTAAAACCAACTAATTATAAGCATCATGCTGCCACTACCATGTTTCACCATGTGTTTTCTGCTATGAGGACTAAATACAACTGTCCATCACAATTTCAGAACCATGTGGTTTCCTTCGATTTCAAATTATTTTGTATTGGTTCATCACAAGAAAAAAGAAAAAGTTTGGAGTTGTAATGTGGGAAAGAATGAACAAGTTCAGAACCTATGAATACTTCAGCGATGCACCGTATCTGCACAAAAAACAGTCAGCTGAAAATAATCCCCACCCTGGAAACTTAATTTTCTCAGTCACATGAAACTCCCAACTTTGGAAAAACTCTCCTGGAAAGATGCTTGGTTGTAGAAAATCAGAGGAAGTGGACACAAAGGCTGAAAGGAAAATGTGACAGCCGTAGGAAGTGACAAATCAGATAATTTACGCTTTGCTGCAAAAAAAAAAGCATTTAACACCTATACAGAGAAACTTCAGTTTTATCTGAAACTATTAACAGGAATTCATTATTAACTCTACAACTGCTCATCAATAGGCTTTTATTACATTATCCTTATTAGTATGCGCGGTTGGTGAGCTGGGCATGAATGAATAATGAATAATGGACTAGCAGAGTGTCCCAGTGCTGGCCCACCACATAACTCAGATTCTTCTAAAGTTGTGAAACCAAGCTTAAACTATTGTGGGCTGATCAGGCCCAACAAACAGCCTAAGTAAACCAAATCTCTCTGCCAGATCTCCAACCTACCAGATAATGATTTCAAATGACTAAATTCACCAGGAGATTTAATGCTTCTGTAGCACAAAGCTGCACCTAATCAAATTCAGATTTTATTGCTTTCGAGACAAAATGTGTTATAACACAACATGTGAGCATGTGTTATTGCTGTGAACTGAGTGCCTGTTAATTTAGAAGCATGAAACTCAGAAGCAGACGACTGCCTACAGGGAACTGTCCTCACCCTCTTGTTCTCCATCTGCACACCACGTTATTGTCCCTGCCAACACTCGCCACACACACACACATGCAGGCACACACAATAAGCATGAATACCAAAACAGTACAGCAAATACCTACCCACACACACACAGCAGGAGAACTCCAATGCAGATACATACAGCACACACCAATCTGAGTTATTCCACTAAATACCCCACATGTCCATGCAAACACACTCCACTAAATCTATCCAGGCTCTTGTCACTTTAAGTCCCCCTTGTGAGAATCTGGAAAACTGAACAAATGGTCTTTGTGTTGTCATGCCAAAAATCCTTTAGTAGTTCTTGTCACAGAAAAGGAATATTGTCTTGGGTAAATGTTCCCGCTTCACCAAACTTTGATTGCCAAGACATTGGCTTCCATTAACCTGATTTGATTTAAAGTGTTAAGGAATTAGGGGCAAACGATGCTGCTGTTTGCACTTCAATGAATAATCAAAGGGATTGTACTTAGTGTTAAAGTCATTTCTGCATCAGACAAATCTATTGTCTCCAATTATTTTAACAAGTGTTAAAAAACAAAAATACCACTTATGAAAGAGGATGTTTATAAGAATGACAATACGTCACATTTCTAATCAGGATGGGGTGAAGGAGAACAGGTTTCAGGTAATATTACAGTGCAAGTTGACTTTTGTTGAGTTTCTTAAATGTACACCGTTTTCAACTTCAGATAAGTAACAGCTGCAACAGTGTGTGCAATGGGAAGCAGTTGACACTTACCTTTGCTAAATGAGAATTGATCCATTTTGTGAAGGTTCTCTTCTGCACGGCTTCTTGCTCATCTGGAAAGTAACAAACATAAAGTTCAAATACTTATTCCAACACGACTGACTACAGATGACTTTTGGATGAGTCAATGAAGCAAAAAAGTTCAATTAAAGAGACTAATAAATCAAACTATACTGTCAGTTTTTTTGCAAAAAAAAAAAAAAAAAGTAAACAATTTACTATCCAGATAAATCACAGTCCTTATCTTGGTCAACATTTTCCATAATGACAAATAAGATATTATATAATATTAATCTTATATTTTTCACTATGCCATCAAGATGTCCTGATAAGTTGATCATTACATTTACGTGTTTTGAAGCAGAGACTCATTTTAAAGACACAGGCCAGTGGAGACAGGAGTTACTGATCTTTACTATATTGCAGTTCTGGTTGTATTGTCAAGATGATAAATCACAACTCCAGTCTCAGGTTTTCTGCAGCCTTTAACAGGGTTTCTTTCAGGACTACCTGTTATCTAGTTCAATACATTTTTCTACTGACTTTGTCTAACTTGTCCATGCTGGGGAAATGAAGCATGATTCTGCGTCCACCATGTTTCAACATGATGTGTTCAGAGGGATACAGAGTCTCTGCTCTCCGCTACGAGGGCTGAATAAATTTAAGGCACACTTGAAAGATTTTAGTTGATTCGATAACGTTGAAACCATGTTCCATTTTATTTTCATTTCACAGTTATGCACCACTTCTGTTGGCTTATCACAAACTCCTAATGAAATATAGTGATGTTTGTGTTTTAGGTTAAAAAAGAAACTTTTGAGGAGTGTGAATACTTCTTTCAGCCACTGTATGGATACCCAAAACATGTGATACAAAAGGTAAATGCAACACCTGTACAACAGTTGTTGTCATGTGTAATCTTTTAAAGATAGTTAATATTATTTTATTTAAATTCCCCTGTTCAAGTATAACTTCTCTCAGGTCTCCAGCTGCATTAGAGTAATACTCCACCATACATGGTACAAGCATAACTAGCAATGTTTAAAATTATGATTTACAAAAGCGGTACAACAAATGCTGCAGACAAGTGCTCTAAAAAGGAGCCGAGAGAAAATTTCTCTCAAACCCTCCACCCACTGTGCTCAGAGCCAACATGTGATTGTTCAGGTCACCTCCAGCCTGTCTCTGGTCTCTTAACACATTCAATCACAACACCTCATGCATTATGCATCATTTATAACAAAGAAGCACATTTCTGTGCTTTTGTGGCGCCGTTGTCGCGTTGAGGACTGTGTCGTGCATGCCGGTTGGCTACTGCTGCACTGCTTGGAGTGGCCATTTTTAAACATCCACCCCAGAAATATATAGACAGCGATCACGTGTTTAAGGAAGCGATGCGAACACTGTACAGGGAGCAAAGACATCATTGACCTACAGGCTAAAGCTTCATCACTGATGCACTGGGGATGCCCAGTGAAGCATATCACACACATACTGACACGCACACACTTACACACACACACACACACACACACACACACGCAAATAAAAAATAAATAGATAAATAAGGCAGCACACACATAATATTGTGTTTGAGCATAAAGTTCATACACCTACAAACCATTAGCATATTTTTATTAGCTTGAAAGATCCAACGTCCAGCTTGTTGCCGCGCTACTTACCACGCAGATACTGAAAAAATCCTGTCACCAGATTTAAAGAAGTCTTTCTGACAGAAACATCCTTACAGTGAGCCATCCTACACCCCACTCTCCGGCTCTCGTCCTTTGCGTCTCATGAGTTCCACGGTGCGTGTACGTGTGTCGACGGCGGGAATCATAAGGTCCACAGTGGACAAAACGTGACAGAAAAAAGAAAAACACAGCTGTCCTTTCACCCCCTCCTTTTTATCCAGCAGGAAGCAAAACAGATCTGGCTGCCTGGTTTCCCCGGTGAAAGCGAGAGAGCTGCTGGAGGCTGTGATGAAAATGTCCCCTCCTCTCTGACCCTCTCACACACTGTCAGACATGCACACACACACACACACACACACGCACGCACACACACACACACACAGATGGCAAAGCAGAAACTCTAATAGGTTGGGTGATCTACAGTCCCATCCTTCCTTCTTCCTGTGTTGTTCCCATCCAGAGGAGCCATGGCTGTGTGGATGTGGACAGCCCTAGCTGCACTGCCTCGCTGTATCATCATACCATCTGAGGCTGGAGAGGGCTCAGCTAGGAGGCTGGCTAAACCAATCGGTGAGGGAGGAGGGTGTGATGTCATAGCCATGGCTGCATTATCCCGATTTAAGCTTAGTTTGTGTGTGTGTGTTAGCCATATTTGCCTATAAGACATGTCTAATCCTCTATGACTGAAACATTTCCTGACGTAGCAGTATCGTTTTAAAATCAACACTGACCCGACTTGCTCTTGATTCATTCAAGCTAAACGAAGTCTCTAGAGTCCTATAGATTTGGGAGACGGAACAAAGGCTGCTGCATGAGGCAGGTCCTGGTACAAGTCATTTTAATAATTAATTCTGGGGCTGCTGAATGACATGTACCACCTGCTCTCCCCCGCGCCGAGCCCACGCCATTGTGACGAGAAAACAGGACACACCCACACAGGGATTCCCTTTGCAAAGCGTCATGTGAAAGCTCTAAAGCACATCCATTGTTTCTGCAAACAGCAAGCAGAGAACAGAACCACTCTACTGCTCTGAATGTAACACATGGACAGCAATGAATGAAGTAAATAGCTTATCATTTTGTCCAGAAAATGCCTTTATTATTTCAGGTCCCACAGCACGCTAAAAGGCTTTTCTTGCATGTTAAAAATAATCCTGAGGTTCTATTAATACTGGTTTATACAAGTCCTTTGACAGGACTTGTATAAAAAATATATTTTTAACATATTTTTAAAAGCTACTTCCTCTTTCATATGCAGGAAGCTGTTTGTAGCTATGAGAAAATCTTACTGGACCGTTTTTTATTTGTGCGCCACAAATCTGGAACAAACTTCAAAACAGCCGAAACACTGAGTTCCTCTAAATCTAGACTGAAAACGCAGCAGTTTAGAGTTGCTTTTGAAATACAAACATAAAACATTAGTCAATAATCTGATGTGTAATCACGGTCTATGACTTTGCATTTTTGTGTTTTTATGATGTAAAGCACTTTGAAATGCCTTGTTACTTTAAGGTGCTATAAAAATGCATTTTGATTGATTTGAATGATTCGCAGAGAGTTCAAATGCTCAAAATAACTAATTATTAAATTATTTACAAAAGTTTACCTTTGCGCCACTTAATGTTAAGATTTTTTTATTGTGTTTCTTCTCTATTAAAACATAAGTATCCAAAAAAAAAAGACCAACTATTACAACATAACTCATGGGTAAGTGAGACATGTTGGATCCTGTTATTTGACGAGTCTAAGGGGAGCACATATATGTTATTTTTTTATTTTACAAGCAAACAGACCCTGCAGGACTATAATAGTTGTCATCAATAGGGGGAGCAGGAAAAACCTAAATTTTCCCCACACCTTGTTTCACCTGCCACACTGCAGTTCTTTGCTGTAACTTCATGTGAGATTTTCCTGTCAGAGCAAACACAAGTCGCGCACTCCATTTTGGAAGAAAGTCGAGAATAAAGCCATTGTTGAAATAATCCATACAAAAAATGCAGTTTGTCACTTAGGGGACAACAAACATGCAGAAGAAGGTGTTCTGGCCAGAGCAAGTACCGCAACTTGTGTTTCATCCACAGTTACACCACCAGGATTTTGTCTAAATTAGATAAACTTCAAATTTGCAGTAATATTTCCAAATGTAAACATGTAAGAAAGATAAGAAAGATCGCAAATGTGACAGAGCGATTAATCTCAAATCTTGCTAAAGTGTTACCCCAGAAAACACAAAAAAGAGGAAATGTAGCTGAATAATTTGAAAGCAATAACAGAAAAACATTTATTTAGATTTCAGCTGCAAAATGAGCCCAGATTGATCCGAAGTCCTGGACTTTAGTTTAGTTAAATAATTCATTCTGAGGGAAAACGGAGAACGCGTTGAGGTTGAAATTTTCTGATACCTGGAGCATCTCCTAAGTAATTTTATTTTTGGCAACTAATTTGAGTTTGACTTTATTGAATGCAGTGTAATAAAAGAATAAACAAATAAATATACAAAGAAAATAAATTTATATCCAAAGCAAGCAAAAGAAGAACAGTAATGAATATTTACATGTTTTAAAATCAAAGGTAGAAGTTTAAACTTATTTTAACACTCAACCCTCTTACATTAGTGGCATCATCTAATAAGTAACTTCATGACATTCTTCCTTAGTTAGTATTTTCTGTTTCTATGACTGGTAAAATGCATACCATAATGAGCATCAATAATTTATGCAATCATAATTTAATGAATAAATAGATGATAAGGATCAATTTGAAGTGAACAAACTGAGCAACAAACATCACATCCAACCATCGGACCGTCAGGAAGGTAATCAAGTGCTTAAGGTGATCTTAGGAAGATGATACCTTTAGCAATACTGTGCAGTAGGTGCATGGTTTCATTGACCTGAGATGGTCACCTGGGAGTCTTATAAAAGCCCACTCATTATGTTGTTCCACTTAGTGAAGAACAGCTTCAGGTCAGCTCTGACAGGCCATGAGCAACCGAGCAGGATAAGAAATGATCCAACAGCTGAACGCCCGGTCCTCTCTGTCTCATCTGAACAGAACACCTTATGGCCTGTAGGGTCACTCTACGTCTGTAGATGATTTATTGAACAGGATTCAGATGGATTTTCATTTCGTTTAATAATCTAACCCGGCTTCAAACCTCTCCTCTACTTTAACCTTGACCTACCTGTGTTTTTTTTTTTTTTGGTCTTCATGATGCAGTTTGTTCATTAATATTTGAGCTGAGAAGTTACTAAGGAAAGAAAACGCTACAATGGTTAGTAGGTGGATCCCTGTAAAATGGATCCGCTGGATCTGTTTATGTTTCTTGTTTGTGCATGAGAATGTGCACATCTGTATATATGTGCTATGCTTCACTTGGAACCTGAGACCTTCAGAGAACAGCTGTGTGCATCCTCCAATTATGTCACACACTGGTGGACTCTGTTTACTATTTAGGTTACTTTTGTAAGGTATATATTATGTGTCACATAATTCTTTTAAATCAAAGAAAGTGCACTAATCAGCTCTAAAATCTGATTCCTGGAGGAGCTGTGGGTAATTAAATATGTCAAATCATTTGCTAGCTGTTTCCACATTTCCTGTCTGATACATTTGTGAAACCCACAAGAACCTATTGCAAAAGACACGGCTGGCAGCAGCCACGCTTCTGGTGTACCAAAGCAGAGCAACTACCTGTCAGTCCATCACCATGTGCTCCTGATAGCAAACAGGGCGAGCGTGAAATCAGCAAAAACACGAGTTATTGCTTTAAAGGGGGAGGCATGTTCATAACTTTATGAAGCCTCTGCACAAATCTACATAAACACAAAATGTGGGCTACTAATTAAAGTGATTCACAACATTATAGACTTTGCTCAAGTCAATAATTCATGCGCTGTTGCTGAAGCCGAAGTGGATCCGCAGTAAACCTCTGTAGGATGCTTTCATTGATGGGAAACTGTGTTTGATTACCAGAGAAAAGCCCTGCTGCTCGCCATCAACAGTCCACCAAGAGCTACTGCCACAAAAGCTATTTCCACTTACTGACTTGAAGCACAGTTATGCAAACTTACACCAAGTCATTTCCACTCTCTCTAAAAAAGGTCATTCAGCTATAAAGACAAAGGATATTTATTAATCACCTTAGTGATGAGCACACAGGAAGTACTGCTTCTCTCTACAGCAGAAAGCGGGTAAAACTGGCACAACCACAGGCAAATGTTTCAAGCAGCAGTTATGGTAACACGCCATCACACCTCACACACAGATGTTTCCAGGTATCCTACACACTCAAAAGTACCCATACAGCTCATATTTTCATGCTACCAACCATTTTTGCTCGTCAAGGGCACAAATGGTATCGAGTTTAGCTCAGTGCTATATCAGTGAATTCTGTGAATGTCAAACCACATCATCAATAATCAACTTAAACAGGAAATTCTTAAGGCGCTAATGACTAAATGATACACAAATGCCTAAAATTAGTCTGATCTCAGCAAATCATGCTTCGATAAGATCCAGAGTTTCACCAGACTGGATGAAAACTGTTTCGTTAAATTAAATCTTACTTTTCAAACCTGAAACAATAAACAATGCAGCTTGACCATGTGCAGCTTAGTCACAGGATGTTGCAGGAATGTTTTTATTGTTTCAAATAAGATTAGCTGGTGGAAAAAAATAAAAAGAGACGTTCACATTGAATCAAATTATACAAATATGCGACCCTATAATGTGCTCTACGGCGCGACGTGTTCAAGGGCAGTACTTTCTTTTAATTTTTTTCAGTAATAAGTAGTTAAAAGACAATCTAGCACAAAGGAGTTTGAGTTTGTCCATCAGGTGGTGTGTATGTGTGCATGTGTGTGAGAGCCTCCCGGCTTGCAAATGTTGGCGAACTTCAGTCGGGCACCGAGCCAAGCCTTGAATCAGCACAATATTACTGTGCAGTAGTGCAGGAGGAGAGGATGTTTGGTTCGCATGCCGGCAAAGCCAAAGAGTGTCACTTACCCTGCAGCTTCTGCATCACATTGGCTATGTCCACAGAGGACCGACCGTAGTGCCTCGGAGACGCCATGTCGACTCGTTGCAGTTGTATCACAAGGTGGGTCACTGATGCCGAGAGCAAGAGATACTTCACAGCCGTCCCGAGTGGGACATCCCTTCCGCCCCTCCTTCTCTCTCTGTCTGCCTCTCTGTCTAATTTCACTGCAGGAGCAAGTCCAATTGAATCTCAGGTTTCATGCAGGTACAAGCAGGTTTATTGTCCAATAGAGGCACTTCTTCCATGCAAGTACTGTAAAAGATTTAAAAGAAAAAGGCTGTTTCAAGAGTTTCTGCACCTGTTATTATTAGCGAATATTTTAAACACTGCAGTTTAGCTATTTAATAGTCTTAAAGACAGAGGTTTTTTTCTAAACCAATCAAAGTAGGTTTTTTTACATGACCTCTAAGTTATTAGTATAAGAGTAGCCACGGTCCAGAAATGCTCAAAGTATAAGTCTGAGTAAACCGAAATGCTTTTATCACGTCACATGTTTTGTTTCACAACAGAAAAGCAACAATTATTTTCTCTGCTGATGAATTAGTCATATTCAATAAGTTAAAATATACCTCACACAACCTATTATTGGTCTGATGTACTATTATAATTTTAAATTATCTCATTAAATTATGACCTTCTGATTTTAAAGTTATAATAATACTAATATTATATACTAACTCTTGCAATGTACATATTCCTTCCTCATCTGGTTTCAGATTTATTTAAAAAAAATGGGACAGAACAATAAAACAAAAATCTAAAATATATTTTTAAAAAGATAACTAACAGTAGCTCTGTCCAGACTCCAAACAAGGTCGCAATTAATGTTATTATCTACACCTGTGCTTTCTGTAGAAATATGCACAACTGTTTAATTGGCTGATGTATGCTGTGGACAAAGAAAAGCGATAGTATGTTAAGCTATACCGTATTAGCCAAAAATGGAGTCCTAATATAACAGACTTGTGATCAGCTAATTTGCTTAAATGGACATGTGGACATTCACTGTATTGCGAGAAATAACTAACAGGAAGTCGCACATATGACTAAATTTAGGCATACAGCTGCAAAATGCATAAAAGTGAATTATTCGCTATACATTAATAGGAAAGTAACAAATGATACAGCACAGTCTACTGTTACGAAGAGGGGGTACAGGTCGTAGTTTAATTATGGCTGACATCGCTTTGAGATAGTTTAAGGAAAACCAAAATGTCGAATTAACCCCATTAAAAGGTGCATCAACTATCCTGGCACTAGCTTTGACTTAAACCACTATATGACATGTCGCTACATCAGTGTTAAGGTATGCTGTACCACAGTAACATTCAGCTAGCAAAGTTAGACACCTGCTGAGGTATCTGTACGATGGAGGCGGCGTTCACTAAAGCCCGTTAAGAAATGGAGGAAGTTGCTAAAAACACCAGATAAACAGTGATAATTACCATGAAAGCGCTCACAAATAAACTCAGACACCCGACAAAACACTAACACCAACGTATCAAGACAACAAGTACAATTATGTATGAGACGGACACGAAGTTGCACGTCGTCTTACCGCCTGTCGGAGCGCAGAGCATGGTGAACTCCCCTGAGGAAGTGCCCGTGCGTGTCTGTGTTGCCCGGTTGCCCATGGTAACCCTGAAAATGAAACTTGGTGGCGTGCATCAGCTCAGTGGCGGACTACAAGCTGGAAACCACAAGAAGCTGAGCGGCATGATGCTGGCAGAGGGAGGAGTCGGAAATGTGAGGTGTGGTTTTCTGGTATTATAGTGCAGTGGCTTTACGCACAAGCTTTCCGAGTGCATCTCAGGGCAATAATGTCCGGGGGGAAAAAGTATATTTTTAAGGAATTCATTTCAGAAACTAGAACTCATATAGCTTCTTTGCACATAATGTGAGATATTTTAAATGTTTAATTTTGACTAATATTGCTTATGACTGATGGAAAATTTAAGTCCAGTATTTTAAAAAATAGATAAGATAAATATTAGCTCAAGTTATGGCCAGCAAAGTTGAAGGAAAACTGACTGCCCAGGCTATGCCATCTATATGCAAGCATATAGATGGAAAGTTAAGTGGAAGGAAAAATATATTAGAAAAAGATACACAAGCAACAGAGATGACCCTGAGAGGATTGTGCAGTATAGCAGGGACTACAGCTTGAAGAGCCACTACACAGAGATGCTGATTTCATTTTCCAACACTTCTCATGACCTGCCCATACTGCCAAAATACCTGCTTTGATGACCATAGTATCGCTGTTGTTTATTGGCCAGAAAACCCATCTGATCTAAATGTCACAGATAAGCTTCGGAGCAGAGGAGAATGTAATGAGAAAGATCAGCAGACCCAAAGAGGAATGAGCTGGGCTAATTCCTTCTGCTGTATAATTATCAAACTTAAAGTGAATAAAAGTATGAACCAGTCTTTGAATACCTATATTTTAGTGTTTTTAGTAGTGAGGTTCAGGTTTAGACCTGAGTTTTAGGTTCATCAAGGTTTCTGGAATACTATGTCATTTTATCACTAGTGTGAAATGAACTCAGATCTCTACGTTTGCATTTTTGGTATTCAAAGTCAAAGAATACTTGAACTTGTGGGAGCCTGTAGGTGATGAATAAAAGTAACCCCACATGTGCTCTTTGTTCATTCACATTTATGATAGCCAAATACCACAAAACAGTGAGGGTGTACCAAGTGAGATTTGAATCAGTTTAGTAAACTGCCAACATCACATCCACTTGTCCAGACTGTCAATCAGTATCATATGTTGAATATTAACTCATACACCCCAAAGTTTATTTTTTTAACTGTCATTTCACCTCTGACTAGATTTATAGAATTGAAAAAAAGAAAGATCAGGACAATAATAAAAAAAAAACATCACCACAGAAGCTGTTTAAATTTAGTTAGAGTGATTTGTCGTGAAAATTTTAAAAAAGACTGGTGGGGGCGGTGAGAGAGGAAGATGAGTCCATTTTGAAATTGTGTGGCAATTTGTTTCATTTTCCCTATTTTAATTACATAACACACAAAAACTCATCTGTCTCTTTCTACAACATGAGTCAATAGAAATTCAATATCTTTCATTAATTTAAAGGAGCCCATAAAGGTCATTTCAGGTCCTACACCGACAGTTGCAGTTTCATTGTAAAGACTTGACTGCCACCTGCTGGACAACTCCTGTAAACATACCTGTATCAACATCAAGATTTCATGGTTCAATCCCGAGGAAAAATGTGTAGTTATTGTGACAAAACCTTTTCTTCAGACTTACTGAAGGAAAAACATATATAACAATGATTGAAATTAAATTCTTTACAGAAAAGAAGCAGCAGAGGTTTTAGCACTCAACTGTACAAGTTTTGCAATGTTCTTCTCAGTCTTGGAGCAAGAGTGGGAACACTGCAACAATGGAAGGAAATCCCCACAGGGACCTGAACTTGATACTCTAAAGACACTGGATTGGTTTGGCAGAGTTTTATGGATCTCCTTGTGCTGAACATTGTCAGGAAACCCGAATAATTTGAATTATTTCCAAGGTGTTGTACATGAGCAAGAGGGCAGTATTTTTGGTTGGATGTTGCATATTTTGGTCTAACCAACTTTTTTTTTTTCATGGAATGTGTGCATCCTGCAGATGACATGTAACATGCTCTACTTGTATGAAAGCCATATTTAATAGGAGTTTTGTTATGAGGTATTGATCCTAAGGAAATGATGTAAAAGGAAGTAACACTGCTTCCTAGTGTTATGTCCCACGCAGATAAGCAGCGCGTTTACTAAATTTAAAGCCAGAGAGGGGAAGGAAGCATGACAGCAAGATTTCCGCCACACCAAACACTGTTGGGATTGAAAAGCCTGTCTTGGGGCGGGGGGAAAAACCTTAGTTTCTGTGCGTGTGTGAGTCTGTGTGGAGCTCAAAAACCAGCTCATGGTGGGAAAATGGCACTAAATGAAACAAATGCATTTTTGGAAATATTAAAATCATTTAATCTTGGTAAGTGGATCTTAACTTTTTGGTTGCAAAGATTTCTTTAAAAGACTTTTTTGTTGTTGTTGCAGAAGCTACTTATATGCAAAGAGCATAGACAGAGATGTGTGTAAAATGCATAGGGAGCGATTGTAGTTTCTCAAAATTAAATCGCAAAAGAGCGATAATCTGTTAGTTAGTCTAAACAATAATTAGTATACCACACCAGGTTTCTTTTGTGTATTAAAATAAATTAATCTGCTTTTCCTTATTGTCTTCAGGTTAATTTCAAAATTAATGTTACACAACCTGAAGCGTTTTTTGTTTTGATATATATATAATATATATAGATCTTTGAATCTGTTTCCCTGTGCCATTCAGTTTCTTTGTTTTAAAAATGCAACAAAAACCAACCAGTTATCGTTTGTACTACGTCCGTATTTCAAAATGAACATGAAACCTAATAATAATAATAATATCCAGAGATTTGTTTCAGCTTCAGTTCTTCAGCAGGGTAGAATCGCAGCACATAGCCTGTGAACCCACACACCGTGCATGATGTAAGATCTTATGTAAAAGTGGCCATTTACAACAGTATGTGCAACAATAAGTCAATACACCAAAGAAGAGGAAAAAAAAAGCTTGGCATAGACCATTCTGGTAACACTTGTCTTCCTGTTGTTCGTTGTGGTCGAGGGTTTAAAGTGTTGTCGAAATCACCATCTGGGGAAATAATTTCCCTCATTTGCAGGGCAACACAATGCATCTGCCCACCCACTCCACCAAACATTTCCCTTTCATCTGTCTTTGCCTCCCTCGACTGAATCTGCGTACTGCTTTGTCTTCATCCAGGTGATTTGATTCTAGCCTTCTGTTTATCTATTCTTGTTGGCCTGCTGCTGGGAGCTCTGATCTACGTTCTGTTAACCTGGGCATCAAGACGTCGGGCTACAGCCAGGATCACAAGGCGCTCCAAAAAGAAATCTGGCAGTTCGCGACGTGACCCCATGGGCAGCCAGTTTGGCCTTTACCGAAGCACTTTCCTGAGTGTTTACAGGCAGCCCTCTCTAGAGCCGGTGGGCCCCTTGGGGAGCAAACCTGGCGCAGAGACGTCCACCTTTCGGCCGCTGCCCAAAAAGAGCAGGCCTAGCCTGGACATGGGAGACGATACACGGGTGACCATGACAGAGGACACAGTGGCCATGGACTCTTCTGATTCAGCCTCCCTCGTACCAAGCAAGAGGAATTCCTTCTGGCTGGGTGGCAACGGGCTGAAAGGATTCCTTCCCTCACACACTCCACCTCCTGCATATGACAGTGTCATCCATGCCTTCGAGGAGACTTGCACTTAAAGCTGTTGGTATGACAACAAGAACTGAATCTACTGACTTTGTTAAGTATCTGCAGACTTTTAAAACAGACTACAGTTGCAATGTTTTTGTAATAACTAGACATTTACTTTATTTTTATTTTTTTTATGAAAAGGAGATACAGTGGCTCTTGAAAGTCACCTTGGTTAAAATGTCAGCTTTTAATTATGAACAAAAATGAGACCATGATAAATCATTTTAAAACAATTTTTAATTGTGAAATGTGACATCTATTGTGTACAATTCAACAACAAAAATAAATTAATTAAAAAACTCCGGTAGAAGAAAAAATCCCCAAAAGGTGCAAAAGCTGGGTTGCATAAGTGTTCACCACCTACTTTGTTGAACCTAATTTTGATTAAATTTCAGCTTTTAGCCCCGCTGGGAAATTTTAGGATAATGTAGATTGTTGAGCACGTGCTCCTACTTTTCATACAGTGAAATGTTCATTTTCCTTTGGTATTAAATTCAATATGAAAAACATGCGGTTTTTGCAAATTCACTATAATCCCATATTTTTACCTAGTTATTAATAACTTAACGCGCGTCAAAAATGCGTCTGACGGTTCAAATTCGACACGTGTGCACTTTAGGTGCGTTCGCACAAACGTGTTTTGAGCGTCAGGCACGTCTGGTCTACGTTCAAAGTCTACGCGGAGCGTCGGACTCGCTCTACACATCAAACGCTCAAAAGGCTTCAATTTGCGCCACAAAGGTTTTTATCAGTTTAATTAGATTAACTATAAATAATGGTAGTTTTATACCATAAACAAATTAAATAAGTTACATTAAATTAAATGTGCTTGAAACAAATATGATTTATTTGTGTCATGATCCGTGTTTCTGTGTTTAGTTTTGACTTTTTCTGTGTGATTCTGTTTCCCTGTGAGTCTTTGTCCTGTCCTCCCCGTTGATTGTCTCCCAGGTGTGTCTCATTCCCTTGATTACCCCGTGTGTATTTAGTCCCACCTGTTGTCTGTATTCTTCGGCGGGTCCTTGTCTAAGTTCGTCTAATGTCAGTTGTCAGTTTTGTCTCTGTCGTCACAGTAGAACTGTATAGTCCTGTGCCGGCATCAGCTCGTCATGTCAGTCTTTGTTTTGTACAGTTGCTACCGGTGTAAGCGCTAGCTTTATTCTCTGCCGTGCTGCCTGTATTGGACTGAGCTTCCGTCATTAAATATCAACATTTTCAACATAACCTGGGTCTCAGCGTCTCTCCTCACCACCTCAAACCACTGCCTTATGACAATTTGCTAAAGAAGATTTTGAAACTATTTTTGTTCAGTTTTTCTTTTTCTTGTCACAGATTTTTGTTTTTAGTTGAACTGAGCAGAATAAATGTCACGATATGTGAAAAATTTCATAGCTGATTATATTTAACCTAATTTTTCACATCACATGCTATAATTTTATTGTCTCCAAATAACTGTTCTATTTTTTCCTTGGCAATCCTGAAAATTTCAATTTCTTTTATCAAACCAAAAATAACACACTAACATTTTGTGGAAGAATTAATGCAAAAAAAATATTAATGATTAAAAATAAAATCATGTTTGCATGCAAATTTTTCAATCTATACAAGTTATATATAGAAATGAATAGTTGAATGGTTTATAAATATTACAGGTCTGTTGGGATAGTAAAACTCCAAAAGTAAGGAATATTTCTTCCAAAGATGGATTGGAACATCTGGGTCCTTACATTCCCCTTCTGGTGCAAAGTAAACACTATGAGCCGCCGTAAACCATGGAAGTCAATTCAATTTTTAAAGTGTTTGGCAGTATAAATGCATAAAATACACTCTTTTTGGCGTTTAGATGTCATTCAAGGCAAGTTAAGAAATATTATGTTGCTGTCAAAAGCTGTAACTTCCACCTCCACTGACGGTCCCTTTCACTTAAAGTATTTCCACATAGCTTTTGCAAATCAGTAACTACCATAAGTGATATGATCGTTTGCATCACTTCCTGTAGAATCGTAGCACCTAAATCTCATCAAACACATATGTTTGATTGTTGGGGGGATTTTATTACACAAAACACCACCAAACATGGCATCCTTCTACAAGAGGCGCCGCTGTTCGTAGGAGAATGAAGAGACACTGACACGCACCTGTAATCTGTTGGTGGGTGGAGTCAGGCATATTGTAAGAAAGACGGATAAATAAATACTATTAATGACTTGATTGTTAGATTTCTTTTCAATATATGTCCTTTTTACCCAGCATTCGTTTTGTAGTCTTACTAGAAATTAGAAGAAAGTTTGGTCATGTCTACTTCAGCCTTCTGATGGTGAAGGTGTTATGTTGTGTATTATATTTCCTTATCTTCCAGCAGACAGTCACTTTATTTAGTATTTCATGAGCATGGTCTCCATATGTTTAGCAGTACAGTCATGAATAAACTGCGTTTAGACCATGAGGAGTTCCAGTGCCCCAGTGTTTTTGATGAAATAAAAATATGAATCTTAACAATGGCGCTATTAGTTGTTTTCAATATAAAGTAATAGTAATCCAAATGGTTTAGTTTCTTTTTCTTTTTTTGAGGAAATATCAATATTTGCATAATGAGACTTTTTCTGTTTAGATGTGAACGTGTGCGCGTATTATCTGTCTTGTGTGTCACTGAGATGGACTGGTGTCCTGTCCAGTGGTCACCCTGTCCAATGATCACTGGAGATTAGCAACGGACGGATCATTCATCCCTTGTTTAGCTACCCAGGTCATAAGGCCACATGTAACATCCCTGAATCCAAACTTGAATATATAGAAATATACAATAAAATTTACCCCGAACCTTTCATATTTGTCATTAGCAAATGCCTCAAGTCAGTCTGGATGTAAACAAATATATTATCACTTTCCTAAAATAATGGCCTAAGTTATTTTTGACAAAAGTGTTGTTTTTGTTGTTGTTGTTGTTGTTGTTTTTGTCCTTTTTTGGCTAAATCATCTTTTGACAAAAAAGAGGTGGTGATATTTATTTTATTTAAACTAAAAAAAGTTTAGATAAGCTTATGGGAAGTTTTGGGAATTACCTTTGGCATTTATATATTTATATTTATAGTCAAACCCAATACAACACCAGATAGTGTGACTATATTTGGTGTAAGTCACCAAATAGGGACTTATTTTGAAAGTTCACTGGAAGTGACATGTACTATTTATTTGTTTTATGACTATTCAAGCCTTGCAACGAAATTTTGCTCAAAATGTAAATGTACAGTTGAATGACAATAAAGTGACTCTGTGTCTATGTATATCTATGTCTAGGAAACAGCCACCAGCAGTAAAATATATATAAAATGTTATAATAGTCTAACTTTCATTGCTCTGCTTTATACTGTTAATGTCATTTTTGTGCTGTCATTATGAAAATAGTGTTAAAAACCCCCAATATGCCCCAATATGTGATAATATTTTATTTTTCCATAAAAGTAAAAACTCTACAATTAGGTAAATGTCAAAAGCACATGGTTTAAATCTTGTCATTTTTATTTTTATTTTATTTTATTTTATTTTATTTATTTATTTATTTTTTTTTTGGTAACTTCTGTCAAAAAAAAATTGTAAAATATTATTAATTTGCAGTCTTACATCTTTAGCGTGTCTTCACTGATTTCTTGGAAACAAACAGTAAAATTACAAACCTAACGACGAACACGGTAAGAGCCATGACAAGGACGCGACGAAAGAAAAATGCAGATCGTGCATTTCTGCCAGAAATCACAGCTGCAAGCTGCACTACAGGTACGTTACAGAGAGTGGGTGCGCCGTACGAGGTTGCCATCCAGACGGAAACCCCCGTTTGCGTGAAGCAGGAAACACTTGGAAGCGTTTGAACGATTTATTAGCCTCTGGGGGATGGAAGTTTATATAAAATGAAAATCGGAGTTGGTAAATTTAGTTGTTCTTGTAGCCGTCAACATTTGCGTTTGGCGCACGGGCTGAATCCGCGCTGGAAAAACCCCTGCAGCATTTCCACGCTACCTGCCTCATGGCAACCCCTTTTAAAGACACAAGCACAAAGTGCGCCAAAGGAGAAGCGCCTGGCAACACTACGGCACTGTCTGTCATTTTAGGACTAACATATAGATATTCTTATCTTGGTGACAGGTACGTACCGCTTTTAATTAATTGAAACTTAAACATATTTAATATAAGTGGCGCATGTGTAATTTCTAAGCCCTTACATTCGTGTCGATATGAGCTCTGACTCACTCAGACAGCTGGGTGATGCGGGTACATATGAGACGCCTATGAATAAGAAAGCGTCAGATGTAACCTGTCATTTTGTGAGATTTCTAAAAGAGCTGCTTTGTCTTTGACTCATAATTCACTCCAAGTCGTTGAATATACGGAGGCTTTAGTCAAAGATATATCGTTGCTATTTTAACAGCTTATTGACGTTCACGCCACAGTTCAGATGTTCTAAACATTGAAGGGTTTATGTAATATTTGCGACGTTTGAGTAAATATCTGTGTGTAATTTCTGCTCTGCCGGTAACAATAAGGCGAGGGCAGCATCAGTACCCATGGAGACTAGCTCTTCATTGCAGTGTTGGCGTTGCATAGAGACTGAGAAACACTAAATATGAACGGCGACGCTCTGAATGACACCGCTGTTTTTCAGCTAAAAATCTCTCCGTCCTTTACTTGTTGAACTGCTGCGTTTTTCTTTCTGTCTCCCCCCCCTGACGTCTTTTTTTTTAAAATTACTATTATTATTTTTTTCTTCCTGCACCTCAACAGGATTGCACAAGTCTCCGGGATGGGTGACTGGCATCTGAGGAGGCACGCATCTTCAAATGGCAAATTCTAAAGCGCAGATTTGAATGAGTGGCTGGATGAATGCATGAATGCATGAATGAATGAAGGAAGAGCTGGATACCCTCTGGCTGTATGATGCATTTTACCTCCCTATTATAGGTCCCCTTTTAAGCACCAACAGGAAAACAGCCATTACCCTTCAGTGCATCATCTGGATGAAAATATGGACACCTTCAGAGGACGCATTTTGATTCAACATGCCCAGGAACTATGAGGTATTTCAAGCCGCTGTCAAATTGTCAATACTGAATACGGTTTAGCCAATCCCCCCCCCATGACATTACATAACATAATGTCAGCAAGCACACATCAAATATGTGCAGAAACTGACTCCGACATAAATTGGGGACCTCAAATTTGTAACATGTCGAATGATTAGCTTTTTTTTAAAAGTGTGGTAGAAGAGAATACTCCTTTTTGATATTCCCCTTTTGGCATAAAAGAAAGGACATAGCTCTCAGAATTTCACGTATTTTATCTATATGGTTTAATTTCATTTTGTGAATGATGATAAATAGAGCTGTAGTGATGATGTAACTTACAGACAAATCCTGGAGCTGCTCCATGAGCAGTGAATAATAGGGACTACAGCAAGAACATTATGAGTTGCCATAAGTGGCACACTTAGTGATTCACTGGTACTTGTT